GGATGAAAAAGAAAGGTAATTTTTTTTTAATGAATTACACATTTTTTTTAGCAGTTGACTTTACATTGGGTGAAGGTAGTGTGAAGCAATGTCAATCACCGTTAAACAATTCTTTTCAGCCAAGCGACAGAAATCGCAATGTTGAATAAAGATCTTGAAAAAGACAGAAAGGAATGCGAGAATCTGCAGAAAAGACTTGATAAAAATACGGAGGAAATTGAAAGGTTAACATTACAGCCGAAAAAATGATACTTATTTGTAAATGTCAAGAAATATTTGTCAAAATGATAAAATATAATACTTTTCTAATTACCAGTAAAGTTTATTCTCATAAAATTTCGTTGTTCTTTATAATGAGATATTGAAATGTGTGAGGAAAGATATATATATATATATATATATGTCAGTGTACTATGCATGTAGTTAGTGATACGGAAAAGGATAAATATTTATCTCTCTTATTCTTTCTCCCTATCCCTCTCCCTATTTATTTAATGTGTAAAAATGTTAACAGTGCAAGTTCTGATATTAATTACAAAAATTTTAGGAAAAAAGAAACCATTAAGGGTTTAGAGAGCATAATAGAAGAACGGACAGCAGAAAAAGAGAAGTGTGTATTAATTATAACCATTATGATAATAGAAAAAATAGATATTATAATTTTTTTATGTTTATGATAAATTTTATACTGATTTTACTTTCCCTGTTTATTAATGCTTTGTTTTTCATCATTTTCGTCTTTATGATTTTGCTCAAGTCATAACTACTAGTATTCAATTAAATTTCATTTTATTTAAACTTGCGTTGAAAAAAAAGAATGTTTGAATTAACGGTTTTCTTCCAGATGATAACGAAATTTTCCTTAAATATCTAGTAAATGGTATTTTTTATATAAAGGAAATGCAAAAAAAAGTATTGTAACTCTGAGAAATTCCGATCTTGTTTGTAACCCTAATTTTCGATTAATCTACAGATCGATTCTTGAAATAGAAACCTCCAAATCCTTCATAAAGAAATTGGAAAAAGAAAAGAAAGCACTTCAAGAAGATGTAAAGTATGTACATATATAACTATTTTTAAGGGAGTCTTTGAAATAAAGAGTAAAATAATACATCTGCATTTTGATTTAATTGAACTAAGTTCATGCAAAAACATAGATCAACAGAAAAATACTTTTGATTTACACGTATTTTATATGTCTGAATCCAACTTACAATTCAGTATATGGTTTCTTATTTTGAGTGAAGTTTATTTTTATTACTTTTTAGTTCACCTGAGTTGAAAGCTCAAGTGAGCTTTTCTAGTCACAATTTGTCCTTCTGTCCCTGTACCTGTCTGTTCGTCCGTCTGTAAACTTTTGACATTTTCGACGTCTTCTCAAGAACCACTTGGCCAATTTCAGTCAAACTTGCCACAAAGTATCCTTGGGTAAACGGGATTCAAGTTTGTTCAAATGAAGGACAAAGGGGAGATAATTACAAATTATTAAAAAGTTAATGGCATCATTTAAAAATCTTCTCCAGAACCACTGGGCCATGAAAGATGAAACTTATTTGGAAACATCCTTAGGTAGTGTTAATTCAAGTTTGTTCAAATCATGTTCCCCGGGGTAGGGCGGGGCCACAATGAACGATCAAATTTTGACATAGGAATTCATGGGAAAATATTTAAAAATCTTCTTCTCAAGACCCACTGAGCTAGGAAAAATGAAACTTATGTTGAAACGACTGAAGGTAGTGTAGATTCAAGTTTGTTCAAATCATGACCCTTGGGGGTAGCACGAATCGACAACGGACGATCAAATTTTTAGATAGGTATACATAGGAACAATCTTAAAAATCTTCTTCTCAATAAAAGCAGAGCCATGATTGATCATATTTATATGGAAGCATCATCAGGTAGTGTATATTCAAATTTGTTCAAATCATGAACCCCGGGGGTAGGGTGGGTCCACAATGGACGAACAAAGTTTTACATAGGAATACATAGGTAAAATCTTTAAAAATCTTCTTCTCAAGAACAGCAAAGCCATGATTGGTCATATTTATATGGAAGCATCATCGGGTAGTTTAGATTCAGATTTGATCAACTTATGACCCCTGGATAGGATGTTGCCTCAATAGTGAAGATAAAACTTATAGGAAAAGAAATACTTAAGCCTTGATTTGTCAAAGAAATATGGAAGCATCCTAAGTTAGTGTAGATTCAAACCATGCCCCTCCCCTTGCTAGTTGGGGGTAGGTTGATACCATGCACATGAAATACTGGCCCATGGGTCTCTTGTTTTTTTTTAACTTTTGATCTCTGTCATACCATTTTTATATGTCGTAGTCAATCATACATATGAATTTCATCAAACTTGTAGGTTGATATCTAAAACTTTTCATCGCTATATATACGAGGGGTGATTAAAAAGTTCGCGAACTATCTCTATATTTACAAGCAAAAACTTTAAAAATAAACAGAAACTTTCAAATTCGGTAACCGCTCTTGAATTCACTTTCAATTTTAACGTAATGTTACTGAAACAATTTACAGAAGTCCATAGCAATTTTGTGACGTGAACCAGGCTATTGTGACGTCTACTACTCTCGCGACAGGAATGGGGTCAATTACTTTAAAAAGTAATTAATTAAATTACAATTACTTTTACTTTTTCTACAATTAAATTACAGGCTTTCTAAGACTTGTAATTAATTAAATTACTATTACTTTGCAAAAGTAATTAATTAAATTACAAATTACATTTATATATATATATATATATATATTTTTTTTTTTTTGAAAATTTTTATAATCCTTACAGAACATCATTTATTTGTATATAAGCTCAGCCTCTGCACAAACAGTACAAGAAATGCTATAGGCATTGTGTATCATTGTGGTTTAATTTATAACATTTATTTACAAAACATTAAAGAATCTCTTAAAGAACTATTCGAGATCAGTTTGATGCAGTTTCCACCACACAAAACCTACATGTACACAAATTGCATGGCTTATGATATTTGATTAAAACTGGGTATTTTAATAGAGTAACATGAGTCGCAACTGTAACCCCTCAAATTAAATATTTCCTTTGAAGGTAACCTGAACATTCTAAGTTGCTATTTATGTTCAACAATTTTACTTCATAAATAATACTTGTACAGAAGAAAATTCATTCATAAATATCTGTTTAGATGTTAAAATGATTATCAAATCGAAAGTTTTTCTTTTCTAAAGCTAGCGGAGCATTTTAAATTGAAATAGTTATCTCCATTGGCTTTGTCTTCTAAATCAGGGAATGAATATCTCTTTAGAGTAGTTGATTTGTTTTGATTGCAATTTACAGCTGTGATCCGGAAGGCAATTATCTCTCCCCAACAAGAGAGAACTTAATTAATGACACACACCTTCTTTTTCTTTATTATTGATCAAACAACAAAGATTGAAATATAATAAATGTGTGTTTCATAGCTGAATAGACCAAAGAAGGGTGGTTCAAAATTCAGATTTATAAACATAAATAAAAAAAAAATTCAAAATTTACATAATGATTAGAAAGAAACTAGATTATTATTTATTTATCAAACCAATCATTTAATTATTTGTATGTAAACATTAACTTAAGATTTTGTTTTTAAAATTGAAGGATTGAGGATATATTTTACAATAACATAAAAAAACCCAGTAAAGTTGGGAGGTACAATGTAGTGGTGACAATATGTCATGAATATACCATGAGTGTGTATTATATAAAGTAATTGAATTTAATTAAAAAATTAATTGACATTTCATGGTATTTTTTTCAGTGTAATTAATTAAATAATAATTACATTTAATTGAAAAAAAAATTCAATTACAAATTACTTCCAATTACTTCAAAAAATGAGTTATTATTACTCTTAATAAGAGGTTAACTCCTTACTGGAAGAAGAAAAAAAAATGTAATTAATTACAGTCAATTACAATTACTTTTTTCAATTACCCTATCCCTGTCTCGGGAGTTTTCTTTCAACGAACGAGTGCGGGAAAATGCACTAAGTCTCCGAAGAGGTTGAATATGATAACTAAAGTGTTCCAAGGAATGCATGTGTCGCCTGTTTTGTAGCTTCATTAAAGATGTAAATAAATCTAAGTTTAGTTAGATATTTATTTACTACTTCCATGATGGTTCATGCAGAAAAAAAACATCCACACATAGTATAAGACTGCGATAGAATCTGACAATGATAGAAAATATGATTCTTAACCCTAAAATGAAGAATTAAGTTAAAGTTATCATAAATAATTATTTATCATTTTACATGCATTAATACGTATTTCAAAGTCTTTTCTCCAATTGTCAGTCTACAAGATCCATTGTGGGATCCATATCCCGATGTTAGTTCATAGTATTTCAGTATCAGTTTGTGTGGTAACTGAATATCATACAGTTTCAAAGTACAGTATCATGAGCACATAAACATGTAAAAATGCTAATTATCAACACCCCGCCTCTCAAAATTCAAAAGACTTACGTTATATTAAACTGTCCGGGGTATATTATGCAAAGTAGGTCAAAGGTCAAGGTGAAGTGAATTGTAACGCTGGTAATTTTCATGATGTTTAATGACAATTAGTGCACATGCTAAATAGCGTAGATTTACCTCTTAAATGTCAAAAATATGATGTATATTGGCACTATTCACTTTTTTGTTAAGTAGGTCAAAGGTGAAGGTCAAGGGTCGTGAGGCCGGTAACCACGACAATTCACAAAAGCCATAGTGCCAAGCAATGTATGTGCAAAATATCAAGTCCATATGTCTTACAGTTCTTGAGATACAAGGTGTGACAGACGGACAAACGGACAGCTAAACAGACGGACAGACAGACAGACACCGGGTAAAGTGATCCCTCAGTGCAGCTCTGCTCTGCAGGCGACACAAAAAGCATGGCGACGACAGGGAAATATGAAGTTTTATGGGCCTGTCACGTGATAATCTAGAATCAATAACGCGTTGTATAAATTAATTATTATGAGGTATAATAAAATAATTTGTACAGGGTTTATGAAGTACAAAGGACTTGCAAGAATTTCGGTCATTAATTGGATTGATTGTTTTAGTGAAGGAAGGGAGATGGTTAAAAATGATGTTTATTCCGGTGCCCAGTAAAAGTATGCTGGGAAAGAGATGTGGCATTAGTTGAGCAATTTGTTATGAAAGATCGCCAAGTTACAGTTAGAAAAATACTTGAATGGCATAACAATGAAATATAAATTAAATCCCTAAAATATCATTTACTTCAGATTTTAAACATATCAGATATGATAAAGAGAACGCATCCATACTTGATTCTCATTTAAAAAACGACGCATCCAAGACAGAGGAGTCGGGTTGTGTTGGTCACCATGCTCATTCTGGTAAAATATATCCTTATCCACCCACCCTATTTCTGAGATTTGGCCATTGGTGACAAAAGGACTATTCTTGTTTAAATATAATCAGCATGGTAAAACAAATAAGATTCAGGAAAATCTTTTAGCTGCTGTTAGCTGAACACTACGGAGCATGTCACGTGACTGCCTGGACCACGTGTTTCGCGCATGAGCAGAACGATGACAGATGTGCATTAAAATCTTTAAAAAACTTTAAAAAATAATACACACTGAAACCTAATTTTGTTTCTTTTATTGAAGTAATTCAATTAATTCGCGAACTTTTTGATCACCCCTCGTATATGACATGTATATGTGAAACAAAATGATAGTGTTCCTTCGTAATTTCATATACACGCGTATTTAAAATGCATGTTTGAAATAACTCTCGATATTTTTATTGAACTTTTAAAGAAATTTAAGACATGAAATTCAGAGGCAGACGGAAATAATTCAAGAGTATACAAGAGCGTATGAAAATCAACATAGAAGTCTGGAAGAACAGAGGCGATCTATTGATAAACTACAGAAAAGTTTATCAGAAGAAAAAAAGGCGAAAGAAAACGCATTAAATAGGTAGATCTACATTTTCGAATTCAAACTATCTGTTTTATTAAAAAAAAAATACTTTTCTCTTCTTTTGATGTACAAAAACCAATACTGAATCACTTTAGACTTAGTGCTGCTGCAGCCAATAGACTTAGAGACCAGAATCCCGGAATAACAGACCTAAGTGATCCGAACCGTCCCCTGAAATTAGCTGAAAAGGTGTCCGAGTTGTATGACAACGAATGGACAAACGCCATGGAGAATTTAGAATCTGAGCTTAATATTCAAGAGGAAAAAGGGATAAAAATTTTATTAAAAATTATTAAAGTGAGTATATCTTCATATTCTATGGTCGATATACAAATGTAATGACCTTGTTTGCAAATACCAACAAGGGTCGGATTTTGATAGACAATGCCAATTGTTTGGCCATTGTTTTTATACTTAATTTTGACTACGGATTACTCGTTTACCCAATCAATGTAGAGGGCCAACGTACGGCAGCTGTTACCAATCGACAGGGGATACTTACTCCTCCCAGGCAACTGATCCCTCTTCTGGTGTCGCAAGGGGTCCGTGTTTTGCTTTCTTTTATGAGATTGACCACTGATCGTTATCTTCTTTAATTATAATGTTATATGTATGTTTAATGCATTAAAAGCACTATGATTTAAGGATCTCCGCTTTATCCGACAGGAAGGATGATTCTCAAAAATCATTGTTTAATTTAAAAAGTCTCAAAAGGAAGCTTGAAATTGAAATATTTTCATACAACAATTTTCATATTATTAGGCTTAATTCTCAATATGATTCAATCTTCTTTGAAGTCTTAGAAACAGTATTTTTAAAAATTTCACATTTTTACCCCATTCAAGAACAACAATAATAATTTTTAGATAAATCGAATTTCTTGACAAAAAAAAAAAAACAAAACACACAAACAACAAACAAACAAACAAAAAAACCAAGCGCAAGCAATTTTTTTTCCAAATGTCTGGATACCTATACTATTTTATCCTAAAATATATTTGTTGATCAAATTTTGATTAGAAAATGCATAGCTGGTGCATTTATTCCTGAAATTATATCTAAGATTGATAATTTTCTCTTTATAATATGATAAACTTTAATGATGAACTTTGAAGAAATACCGTCGGTAAATACTCGTACACATTTCTTTTTTGAATTCAGAGACATTTTTGTGAGCCTTATCTATTATTTAACTGCTGCTTGTCAGAATCTGAGGAAGTTGTCTTCAATATTTAAAGCAAATACTTTTAAAAAAGAAAAAACATTAAATGTATCCTAATTTGCGTGGCCGACGGAACTTGACAAAGAAAGGGGTCACTTTGACCATCGTATTTTTTTTCGCCCACCTGTCTGTGTATCTGAAGAAATCTCATTCACCTGTAAGCCCTGAGCACTTGAATTTGAGGTGCTAAATTGTTACCAGTTTTACCAACCAAATGAAATAAATAAGCTCTTCTTTGCTTAAAAAAATAATTTTTTAATGTGTTAATTCAAGTCCATACTTGTTAATCACTTAAAACAAATTGTAGTTTTTTGGTAGATAAATGTACACGTTGTTTTGCAACACATTGTATCATACATGTTAAGAAAATTTTTTTTAAGTGTTTATGTTTCAAAATTGTTATTAAGGTATTTGGAAATTAGCCACTAAAATAAAAAGTACTTTCTCACAAAGGGAAGTAAAGTACATACTGTAGTGTCTGAGCTTTTCAAATAATATAGAAGTACATGTACTGGTACTATATTCGTACCACTGCAATACAATGTACTTACACATCAGTATTTATTATTTTAACGTTAGGGACGTACAAATTTAGTCATTTAACTCAATTAGACATTATGTGTCACATTATTTGTGAACATCAAGATTTTACAAACTTAATGTTTTATATGAAAAAACACTGTAGAATTAATTGTGAATTAGCTAAGTTTATAAATTTTGACTATTAAAACTATTTATATTTATACAGAATGTTTTTGACGCATGCGCTGAGTTTGGAGACAACCACCTACAATCCTTCCCTGACATGTTGATTTTACCTCCATCTTTTATAAAGAGAGGGGAAGAAAAAATGGTAATTTTAAAATATGATAGAAAATTAAAAGCAAGGCTTACAAATATTCTAATTACCACAGTTGATATTATGTCTTTGTTAGCGTCACATACACCAATAAAGATGTTTAAAATCAGCTGTGGGGACTAGATTCAGCGTATACGGGGAAAACAACCAACATAATAAGTAATATGTGTCTAGCAACCCCGACAACATTCCTTTGTACTCTCAATGCATTTGTTTTTATTTTAGATCAGCATTAGAGATCTACCCTCTGAAATGCTTAAACCAATGAAAGATTTTCGAAAATCGCATGCAAAACACGCAATAAATCATTTGCAAAAGGTATGTAACATGTATTTTTTCTAAACATTATGATGTTTTATTATTTGATATCAATTACCGATTAAAGAACTACGCACGCTAACTCTCCATCCCCGCTTACATTTTACACCCATTTATTTCAATACTAATGTCAATTTGGCCGTAAAATATTTGTTGAATGCAAAGAACAGTTCAATGATAATTGACTGATAATTTTAACGCCAGCGTTAAATAGTTAATTATCCCTATTTCCAGCTCTTTAAATAAGGGGGGTAGACGATATTTTCCATTGAAATCGGGCTTTAAAGCATCACCACATTTTTAAATATTCTTGGATATAAACAGATGTTCCTTAAATCTTTTCTAATGTTTTACACATATAAATTAAACATATATTATTAGCAAAATACAATGTTTTTAGTTGCAAACCCTTTTGATATTGGTGAAAAATAATCATTGTTGTAGTTTTTTGTCTGTAAACATGTGCCTCCCCCCCCCCCCCCTTGAAACACAAAAAGCTTTGGTACGAATTTGTGAAATGACAGTCCATATTACCTGTAAAATGGAATTTTTGTTTCACGGGGGGGGGGGAGAGAGAGAAAAAGAGAGAGGTGTTTTAAAAATGTTTTCCGTTTCTCTTGATTTCTATAGTGAAAAACTCAAGGTTTACCAAAATTACAATCTGATTAAAATCAGATCTTTGTTACGCTCCGAAATTCTGATGGTCGCTGTACAGCGACCATCAGAATTTCGGAGCGTAACAAAGATCTGATTTTAATCAGATTGCCAAAATTATAGAGTTATCTCTCTTTGTTTTCCCAAAAAAGTAATGTTTTATGAAAATTCATATAAATATCTATATAAGTATGAAAAATCATTCAAATGTGTTAACTTTTGAAAATTGACTTGGAGGTAGGCGGGAGAACCATACTATCGTTCGCAGTTCTTTGACGCAATTGCAATACCAACTGGACAAAGCTTTTAGGCATAAATCTTATTTGAATAAAGATTTGCTAGATAGATGATTCTGTATTTGCCAATGAATTTATGAGTATGTTGGGTGTGAAAGGCACTTGTGTAATTACCCGGTGTCATTTTATTAGATTTAATGGAAAATCTAGCATTTACCATATGCTCTTATACGACTGTTTTTTTCTTTTATAACCTTGAAATAAATTTGCAAAGTCGTGTCACTGTTTCATGCTAGCATAAGTATTTCCCTGTTGTTTTTGTATATATTTCTCAGTTTAATCATTGAAAGGGAAAATGAAGTAAAACTGTGTTCAGCTCTGAAGATTTATTATTTTCTTTTGAAGTTCTTTTCCACAGATGAAGGAAAGCCGAAATTGCACATAAAGGAAAAAGTATTCAAGGCCTGTGAAGAATACGTGAATAAGTGTATAGAGCTTTGCTGGATGATGCGCATTCAAGATCCACCAATTTACATGGAAACAGAATACCCGACTAATTCAGAATTTGACTCAAATAAAATGCGATCGTACACAAAGGCAGGAAAATTCATACATTTTGTTGTATGGCCTACTTTTTTCCTGCACAAGGATGGTCCACTGTTGGCAAAAGGGGTAGTGCAAGGGAGCAAAACAGAAATAAAAGATATAAAAGAAATCAATGGCGATGAAGAGTGTAGTTCGTCAAGCTCTGACTCTGACGGTGAAGAATTTGATGACGCCCGGTCACGAACAGATTCACAGCCAAGGGATAATCTAAAGAAAACCGCCTCTCAAGATGACGCGGAGCCAAATCAGCAAGGGAATAAAGAAATCTCACAAGAAGCAGATGGAACATCAATCAATGAAACGAATGACAAACCAGAGGGACCAAATGACACCAACGACATCGCAAAGGGGCCAAATAACACCGACACCACACCAGAAGAACCAAATAACACCGACACCAAACCAGAAGAACCAAATAACACTGACGAAAAACCAAAGGAACCAAATAATGATTTGCATATCAACCAATCAAAGCCGCAAGGAAGTGAAGCAGCTGATCAAGAGGAACCAGTTAACTCAGACGAGACAGAGGGAGAAGACGGGAGTGAAAGGGCTGCTGAGCAGAGAGATGCATCCGTTGACAAAACACAAAATAAGGCAGAGGAAACAGATGTATAGATGACTTGATACGCTGAGTTTCTTGTATCTCTGTATCCTATATATATACATATAAAAATGCTTTATTTGCCAAAGATGTAGCCTGTATCTTCTTGTTTGATTCACTGTCCTTGTAAATAATTGTTATTTGGTAAGTAAGTTTGAGAAGTGATTCTGAGACTGGTAATTAATGAATTATTTATTTAATTAATCGGCAGTCAATAACTGGTTCTTCTTAATTAATTGAACATTCATTCCGATGGGACTTGACTATCCAGTGATTCAGAAATATCTACATATACATGTATTCTTTTGTAGATTTTGCATATCATTCTTTGTCGGTAGATGTTTGTCTTATTTGTATGTTGCAGCTAATTATTTTGTTATTATGATCTATACAATGTAATAAAATACCAGAGGTTGTATTAGCTAAAGTATTTAAAAACAATGTTATTATCATATATTTGTAAAATTCACTTTTTGTAGTTTAGAGAACAGAAATAAAACCTTCGAAATAAATAATTTTTTGTATACAATCCTATTTTACTTTTTAAAGCGTTAAACAAATATTGTCTTCTTTAATACTATAGAACAATGACCTTAAAACTTTCACATAGGATAGAGAGTATGAGGGGGATATTGAAATCTCGTATAAATCAATTGTATGAAAATTGTGTACTGTCTTTCTGTTTTCAGAAGTGGGGGAAAGAAGAAGATACGTGTATATGATCAGTATGAACTGGTTCTAACCGACAGGGCATTTAATAACATAGTTTTTTAAGGCTCATTGTTACAACTGCATTTTAGAAGGACTTGGCTTTAATTCTAGAATTGGTAATCAAACTTACATTTGCTTATAATCGCAGCTCCCTTTCAAAGGAAGAAATTCTTCAAAAATTTATTGGGCTGGGTATCGGCTTGAAATTTCGTATTGCGCTATACTGCGATATTTTTAATTGTATTGAGATATGTTTTGCTATCTTCAATAAAGGTTCAAATGACCTTTTCTCATTTTATTAACCTCAATTCATAAGCAGAGTGTAATTTACTATTATAAAAACGTTTTACAAGAAAGTTCTTCAGTTGTTGATTTCACTATAGTTTTGCAACAAAATGTAACCATACAACAGCAATCTTACTGTTTGATACGATTGAAAACATTTTCAACATCATAAATTTCATATTTTACTTCAAAAATCCCAAGCCCATGCATCATTTTCCGGCAATTTTTATCGGTACTGAGAAAACGTATCGCAATTATATTTTTGTCAATGAATCGCAATATACCAGAATATTGATATTATTGGGCAGCTCTAAAAATTTACGTTCTAGTTTCATATATTGATAATTCCAACAGGCAAAAACACCTACACTAGATTCAAAAACCAAATTTAAAAAAAAAAAAACATATATGAAATAAAATGCATATATGGATCCAGTAAATCTGGACAAGCGAGGAAAGGAGTAAATGGCTGTTACAGTGCGAAATGTAACGACAACGCAAAATGTAATAAACTGGGATTATTATATTTTGCGTTATTACATTTTGCGTCCAGATAGATCAACGCAAAAAGTAATAACGCAAAATATATAACACGATTTTTGGATTATTACATTTTGCGTTATTACATTTTGCGTTGGGATTAACGCAAAATGTAATAATGCACTTTTTGGTTGTTACATTTTGCGTTACTTATTTTTTGCGTTAAGGACATCGCAAAATGTAATAAAACAAAATGTAATAAAACAAAAATAATTATTTTTTTGTATTGTTTTCAACGCGAAAGATCACAAAATTGATTTTAATATATAACAATGGGAAAAAATCGATTTACTAAACAGACAGACCTATGACTATTAGACAAACGTTACGGCTTTAACGGACATTACTAAATCTATTTGTATATTTTTTAAACTCTGTTCCTAACATTTTTATTGAATTCATATAAAACATTAACTTAATTTTCATTGACATGTCTGTTTATAAATCAGTCTGTATTATATATCCATCACTGAAACTCTTGATTACCAAAGATTGACCATGGGTCCATTAAAAGCTCTTAATATGCATGTACGACGTGCATGTGTACATTGGTTAGCAAAGAAGTGCATGTGTGTGAGTGTCCGGTGAGGGGAAGCGATTCGTATGTTGATCATTGTATTTTTATGCGCATGCAGAAACAATTCATTTTATTATTGGAGAGAGAGAGAGAGATTTTTATTTTTGCTGGTCTGCAATGCACATGATTTGTAAAACAGTGTGATATCTTAATTGTCAAGAAACCCCCTTCCCATTATACTTGCCAGTAAAAATAAATAGATTTCTTTTCTAAATTTCGTTCATGTTCCTATGAAAAAGCAAAAGCAAACTGATACACTGATCAACGAAATAACACCCCCCCCCCCAACACACACACACAAAACACGTGTGCACGCACGTTTCTACTTTGCAACACCTATGATCTGAATATCAACTGATTTTAAAGGGCTAATGAAATCAATATATGATGAAATCAGATCTAATGTAAGAATAAGCATATGTTTATTTTTCCTTTTGTTTTATTTTCTTTCTGTTTATTTTCTTCATCCACTATTCAATTGAAAATTATTCTCAACCTGACTGACCAAAAAATGTGTTACTACATTTTGCGTTGTTGTATTTTGCTTAATCTCGACGCAAAATGTAACAACGCAAAATGTAATAATCCAAAAATCGTGTTATTACATTTTGCGTTATTATATTCTGCGTTGATATCGACGCAAAATGTAATAAAGCAAAATGCAATAATCCCAGTTGTTACATTTTGCGTTGTTATTACATTTCGCGTTGTAACATGGCTAAGGCGAAAAAAATCTATTTCATTTCAAGCAAGAGATCGGCTCAGTTCTTATTATAGGGTTATCTCCCCATGCAGATGGTACTACCTTCTTAACTGTTTATGGTCTTGGGGAGGATTAAGTTCTCTTGCCTTTAGGGAGGAGGGTCCCAAATTAAAGCATTAAAAGCCAAGTTTACTGCGCAAATTTTTTATAACACTGAAAAACCTTGGAGGGTTTGGAGCTTACGCCCCCCCCCCCCTTCTCCCATTAGATTCACTCATATAAGCAATACTTTTAAAGATAAAAAATAAAAAGCTGTTTTGAATGTTTCTGTTTCTTTAATGATTTTTTTGAGTAGATTAAAGTAATTTTATATTTATCTATGATTTTACAATACAATGTACCTTTGCCTCTTTCCTACAATCTTTTGTTATGCGATGGATTGCATTGTTACGGATCCATAAAAGTCGGGCATCCAAACGTCCTCCCAGTGTTATGAGGCAACGCACACTACATAATAATCGACAACAGAACTACTCATCAAACCATTGTCAAACGTCCAAACATGGTATCATGAGAGATACCACAGAGTCAGTATAAAGTGGAATTGACCTTATATCAGAAGTTAACAGTTGAAATTTGTCAATATAGTGCAGTACATAGAACTTCTCCGGGGGCTTTTTTTTTATCTATCATTATATAAGGCAACATTTTCAGTTTTTAATTAAACTTTTTTTTAACTGACCTTAAAAATACATATTGATAAAGAATCACACTTAGCATATATTTAATAAGTCTAATAATTAAAGTTATGGCAATTGTGAAAATTGCAAGCTGACTTTATTCCTCACAAAGATCAAAAGGCTAATTCAACATTTCTGGACCAAAACAAATTATTGTTAACAAAGTTTGATTCGAATATCAAGAATGAGAAAAATATGGAAAGTAACAGATCAGTGTATTGAACATAAGATAAAAAAAATTGACATAAGTATATACATCTTATTAATACAAAAGCCAGATTATTATCAATAGAATTAAGCATTTATACACAAAAAATTACCGGTAGCAAATAAATTATAGAAATGAACATACCATCCTTTTTTCTATGACCACTAATAATAAAACTATAGTGTTCTTTTATTTGTTTAATCATAATCGTAAATTCCAAGCAGAATATGCCATATGTAAGATTAGCAAATTAATTTTCAAGTAATAATAAAGTGCATTCAGTGTAAAAAGAGAGACATCATGAAAAATTTCACATCAGTATGGAATTCTAGAAAAAAAAATATCTATGATTAAAGTCATGTACAACAATGTACAACAATAAGCGTGCAGTAATAGATGGAGATTGACCATGCATCAGACTGGTTTACAGTAAAATTTGGAGTAAAACAGGGATTGAATATGTCAGGATTTTTATTCATACTCGTGATTGACTGGATCATGAAGAAAACCACAAAAGAAAATATTTGTAACAAAGGTATCCGCTGAAACTTAAAGGGGCCTGGACATAGTTGCATTGTTTACAATTTTAAAATTCTATTTTAAATTTAAAAATATTTTCAGTTTAATTATTTAAAATTACCTGAATATTCTTAGAGATTCAATGACACAGGCATTCTTCATAACATCTTGTCAAAATATTGTCTGTAAACAGGTCACGAGCTCTGTTATTGTTAATGTTTGTTTTACCGGGTGTGATCAATTTTTTTAGTCTGCACACATCACTGAGCACCTAACAATACTGGTGAGTTAATTTTGCTTTCTCGCATTTCTACTCTACATATTCTTGATTGTAGTTTTCATATTTTTCATTAATATACAACGAAATCTCTACTTTTCTTAAGTATTATGGATAAAGTTTACCTCGTGAAAGTGCAAGGTTTTGTGTCAATCAAACGCGTACCGAGTTTTGATTATTTCCAGATAAAAGGAGTTTCTAAACAATCTTTCACTATACTTCTGTGTGAATTGCTCTAGCAACATACAAGTCATGACAATATATCGAAAAGTTTAGAAAATATGACCTTTAAATCTGAGTCCAAGCCCCGTTATTAACAACCAAACTATATTACCTCAATTATGCAAATGACATTGTCCTCACGTCAAGCAGTAAAAAACAAATACAACAGAAAAAATTGAACACCATATCTATGTCAACTGGATTATCCATTAATTCCGCCAAAACAAAAGTAATGAGATTAAACAACATCAATTACCAGAAAATAACAATCAATGGGAGCATGATCGAAGATACTGACACCTTTGTCTATCTTAGTGCAACTTTTTAGTAAAGAAGGAGGTGGACAGACAGGGGGATCCGGAGAAGACTGGGTCATGCTAAGGTAGCTACAGCAGACTCCCCAAGATAACTTTCAATTCGGACCAAATTGAACATCTTCGAGTCAAACGAAATATCTGCTTTGTTGTATGGCTCTGGAACATGGAAGATGAGCAAAGAAGATAAAAACTGCTTGCCATCTTCCTCCATAGATTTCTAAGAAAGATTATGAGGATATTTTGGCCGGTGAAAATCGTAAATGATAGAGTAAGAGAACTAGCAAACATGGATAAGATCCGTAGAAATGGATAGGACATATGCTGAGAAAGAGAACAGATTGCAATGACAGAATAGCATTAACGTGGAGGGATGGAAGAGCTAAGGAAGACCAAAGGAAACATGGAGTGGAACCGTAGAAAAGAAAGGAAACAACTTGAATTTAAATTGTGGAGTGAAGCTGCCCTCCAAGAGAACTAATCAATGGCCCTATTCTCTACAGGGATATGGAATTAAGTCCAGTTTAAGTCAACTCAATGAAGTATAGAGGCTTTTATTATATAATTGTATAAAAGATGAAATAAAGAGATGCCAAAGGCTTTGACAGGTTGGAAACGAATGAATATTACACGTATCAAGAGAAAATAAAAGAGCAGAAATAAGAAAACAAATACATGTATTAAAAAAAAAACACGCAAAACTATTTGGGTAGTGAGAGAAAGAGAGAGGGAGGAGAAGAGAATCGAGAAATGCAAAACTTAGCATTTCGTTTTGGTGGTTCTTTTTATAACATACTGTTGAGTTTAAATTTTGACATTTATACCATCTTATCTTTTTATTTTTATTTTATGTTGTATATTGATTTTTTTTACATTGATTGTCATATATAACAGTTTTTATTGTATTTTGTTACCTTCATTTGTGACCCGATAGCGGTGTTTTTCTTTGATGTGTGCTCTTCTGTATTAGCAATACAGAACGGGACTACAGTTGGCAGAGCTACTTTCCGTTCTGTATTAGCCCTATATATATACTGTCTTGTATTGGCCAACTGTTCTATATCTAAAATACAGCATGGTCTATAAATAAATCTAATTCAATTTATCAAAAGCACGTACAAATAGTAAATGATGTTTTTTTTTCCTATTATAAATTTTGGAGAAATATTTCCTTAGGAATGTAAAATGTCAAAATTTCTAAATCACTTTTTAAAAATCATTCCACACAGAATCTACACGTTATTTCGATCCAAACGAAAAAGGAAAATTCGCAATTATGGAAAACATCCTATGTTGGATAAATTCCTGAAAACCTGTTTCCTCTTCCTGCTTTTTGTGTCCCCTTCAAAATAGTAAAGCCAATGGGTTCACGGATGCAGCATTAATTAGGTGAAATTCGCAATCCCCCTCCCCCTATTTTCCACTCTTCTCGTGCAAACTCAATCAAGTCCATTTTCAGGGTTTTTTTTTATTTCATCTTAAATCCTTATCCCTGAAGACTGTTGCACATCTCTTTCACTTCGTTTAATGTTGCATTTCATTAAGAAACATAAAAATCCGTAACATTACAGTCCATCGAAAAACTGTCTGTATCGCCTGTATGTGTATCTAGTTTAACTTAGATTTTAAGACCCCTGAAATAAATTAAGATTAATCTCCATCTACAACAACGTTAAATCGTCCACCTTATCAATTAAGACTGACTTCAAGTCTGTTACGTCTACCCCGTTGTCAAAACTAATCTGACTCCATGGAAATACGAGGGGTGATCAAAAAGTTCGCGAACTATCTCTATATTTACGAAACCACAATTCAGATCAAAATGAAATTTGGCACACATTTAGTCATACACATGTTCTATAAATAGCATATGTTATATAATATCTTGCTCCGTGTTTGTGACGTCACAATGTGAAAATGACGTCAATATGTAGGTGACTTGTGACAAAAAATGGTTGACTCATTCGTACTCGAGCAACGAATGGCTGTAAACTTTAACGTATATATCGGAAATTCCTTTGCAGTAGAATATGATAATTTGTACAAGGTTAATGAAGACAAAAGACTTACCAGAAGTTCCATCATTAATTGGATTGATTGTTTTAGTGATGGCAGGGAGATGGTTAAAAATTATGTTTGTTCTATTGCCCAGCGAAAGCAAAGCGGTAAAAAGATGTGTCCTTTGTTGAGCAATTTCTTTTGAAAGATTGCCATGTTACAATTAGAAAAATAGTTGAATATCTGACCAATAATATAATTATTAAATCCCCAAAATATCGTTTACTTTAGACTTTAAACATACGAGATATGAAAAAAAGAAGGCGTCCATACATTTTTACACATTCGATAAACGACGCTCCCGAGACAGAGGACTCGGGTTGTGATGGTCACCATAATTAATCTGGAAAGGGATATCCTTATCCACCCATCCTATTGCCGAGATTTGGCCATTTCTGACAGGTGGTCTGTTCTTGTTATAAAAAATAACATACATGGTAAGAAATATAAGACTCGGAAAAATCTCTTAGCTTCTGTGAACAGACCGCTACGGAGCATGTCACGTGACCGCCTGGATCACGTGATTCGCGCATGGGCAAAACAATGGCAGATGTGCATTAAAATCGGAGAGGACTACTTTAAAAAATAATGAAAACTGAAACCTCATTATATTTGTTTTAAGGAAGTAATTCAATTAGTTCGCGAACTTTTTGAGCACCCCTCGTATATATACTGCAGATGTATACTCCCCGTCGAGGACTCACCTACAGAGAGAACAAACGAACTCTGGCGGAAGTTTGGATGCTGCACAGTTATAAAGTGGGCGGTGCTTTTTTTTTTTTTTTTTTTTTTTTTTTTTGATTGATCGTGTCACAAATCATTAAGAGAACTCGACATGCAGTTTCTGTATCGTAGATACAAATTTGGGGTTGGAGAATCGTGCTACGCACTTGTCCACCCCCAAATTTGTATCTATGATACAGAACCCGTCTCGTTCTCTAAATAATACTTAATCGACCTTCTATGGTATATTTCTTCGGTTGTGCCCCTCCTGACAACCCAACTGACAGCTGAGAATTAGGTGAAGCAATGCTGGACCAAATAATAGTTATTTGCCATTAGAGTTTTTTTTCTGTAAATCGGACCAGACTGTTATAAATTTGCAACAGTGAAAAAAAATACACTATGTATATCTTTTTTGTGACACGAAAGCGGTGTTTTCTTTGAAGTTTGCTGTTCCGTATTAGCAATGCAGAAGGGGACTACAGTTGGCGGAGCTATTTTCCGTTCTGTATTAGCCCTGTATACTGTGTTGTATTAGCCAACTATTCTGTATCTAAAATACAGCACGGTCTATAAATAAATCTGATTCAATTTATCAAAAGCACGTACAAATAGTTATTACCGATTTTTTCCTATTATGAACTTTGGACTAATTTTCTTATGAATGTAAAATGTCAAATTTTCTCAATCACTTTTAAGAACTTATTCCACATAGAATCTACACGTTATTTCGATCCAAACGAAAAGGAAAAATCGCAGTTATGAAATCATACTGTGCTGGATAAATTCCTCAAAATCTGTTTGCCTTCTCTGCTTTTTTGCGTTCCCTTCAAAATGGTAAAGCGTTTTTACTGTCGCATTTCAATAAGAAAATAAAAATCTGTGACATCCGAGTCCACCGAAGAGCTGTCTGTATCGCCTGTATTTATACCTCGGTAAACTGAGATTTTGAGACCCCTCAAATATATAGCAGGATCAATCTCCATAGTGTCATAAAACTACTAGAAAGTTAAATCGTCCACCTTATCCATTATGAAATCAAGTCAATTTACGTCTACCTTGTTGTCAAACCTAATCTGACTGAATCTTACGTTGTCCGTAGAAATATATTTACTGCGGATGCTGCACAGCTAAAAGTGGGAGGTGCTTATTGTGATTGATCGTGCCACAAATCATTTAGAGAACTCGACAGGTTCTGTATCATAGATACAAATTTAGGGGCGGAGACTCATGCTACGCACTCGTCCACCCCCAAATTGTATCTACTATATACAGATCGAACCCGTCTCCTTCTCTAAATAATACATAGATGAAAAAGAAATTCATTACGAACGTACAACTATTTTAAAAAAAGAAAAGTACATGTAGATGTGACCGGGAATTTAAAATAAAAAGCTTTCATATACTACGGGTTTTCATGTTCATAATTTCCTTCTCGGGCTTCCATAAAAATAAAAATACATGTAAACAAAACCGCTCATCAAACAAGCGCGCAATAATATTATTAATTACGTGTTAAGGAAGATTTAAGTACAAAAGTCGTTTTTTTTTCTTAATTGGAAACAATAGATCAATGTTTGCAGGTATTTTTAACGTTGCCCCTTCAGGGTAAAGTAAGTTCAAACCGAAAGTAGATACTTTTTACCGCCTTGTAATGTCGAAGAGAAAATCTAATGAGGAGTGGGGAGATTCAGACAGGCCTAGAAAGAGGTTATCTAAAGGGTGAGTAAATCATCCATTATAATCATACCTGTTTTCTGGAAAATTAGTAGATCATAATGACATTCATGAAACAGTCAAAGCTATTTAATTTGTACCTGTCCTCGGTCCGGAACAATATTACATCTGTAATAGTGATAGTTTTATGTTGTTTTAATTATTATGATATTCAAATGTATAATTTATTAATTATACATTTATGAATATGCCACAACTGATTTTAAACTCTGAAGTGCATGTATTAATCTGTGTGTCAATCATTATTGACAAAGACAAATAATTTAAAATCAAATATCAATAATATTTAATAAAATAATTTATCAAATAAAATAATTAAATAAATTAAATAAAACAAACTAATTGAAATAAAATAAACAATCAGCTAAAACCTTAGATCCACTCCTTGTTTTATCCCTACACCTGTAATAAGCTACCTGAGTAGAATTCAACTTTCTTTAATCCTATTGGTCAAAACTTTTACCTCCAAATTCTGGACATGAGACAAAGACATTATTCAGATTGCTTTCAGACTGAGAAGACATGATTCTCATATATAAATTATAACTTTTACTGTGAACTGGCAACCAGATCCTAATATTACATACAATGATAAAGTGCCAGTAATTGTTGTTAAAACAAAAGTACCTGATGAGGCACTCTGTTCCATAAACAGGGTATTATTATCCACAGATATTATCATCTACATTAACAAATAAATCACCATCAACGAACCCGCAGGTGTCTTGGTTATATTTAACATCTTTACCTGACCCCTGTTACACATCGACGATTATAATGATGTTCTAATCAATCTTGATGAAGATATATAGAACTTTTCAGTTGCACTGTTTACGTACATCAAGTCTGCCTTGAAGAGTTAATTGTTAGAAACATAGCATAGCTAGCTACAGCTGCACACAGGTAACTTCTTTATTGTGGGCTTCATAGTGAAGTTCTCGATGAATGTTGAAAGCATTAAGGAAGCCTCGCTAACGTAATGGTGTCACTGTACTGCTGTCATTGTCAACCAAGTCCGTTTTAGATTGTGTAAAACACCTCTTGAGTAAAGCGGATTCTTAGAACAAGAGCATGTTTTACAATGCTAATCTGTTTTGCCCTTCCTTCTTTCTTTCTTATCAAGCTGTACATTTTCAGCTTTCTGAAGGTTCGTGTGCTCTACTTGGTGTCCTGTAGTCTAGTCTCGGAGACTTTAATATAAGCCGTTGTGAGTCTGTGAATTTCTCCAAATATGTGAATGTCAAGGACAATCGTTGTAGATTCCCTGTCAACGAGCAAGTAACATACTCTTAGTTTTTACCCTGATTTTGACATCCGTACATTGATTTGGGTCACTCACTTCCATGTTGGTCTCTCCTGGCTTTTCAAGGTTTCCTCGAGTGTTTAAAATCATATCCGCCTACCTACTCTATCACCTTTTTGCACTAAGCATGAGATATTCTTCAAAGTTTACAGTAAAAATTTGGTGGACTGTTAGTCCCCGAGGGTCTCTACAGCCCAGTAGCTAAGTACTTCGGTACTAGCTTGAAAATAATTTAATTGCTGTGGTAAAATTCAGAAATTTATTTCAAAATTAAGGATGATCTCCCTCATGCATAGCTCTAGTCCTTCGATGTATTTGGCTCCAGTCTTTGGCACACCTTTTTCAGCTCTTCAAGGTTTTTTTTTTCTTTTTATATAAATATTTCGGATTTCCAAACTTTCGCATGAGCATCACTGAAGAGACGTAATTTGTCGAAATGCGCATCTGATGCATCAAAATTGGTACCGTATATGATTTAATTACATTATATATATATTGCATGTAGTTGAGGGTAACATGTTACCCTCAACTACAATCAACATTTGTTACACGTATATAAATCTGAATGTTTTATACAAATACATACAACAGTGAACCGGGCGCGCAAAGTTCTGCGAAATCTTTTTTTTTCTGTTGTTGTTGTTGTTGAAATAACACCCATCATTAAATAATGTTGACTGTTGCTATGTTCTGTCAAGCTGGAGAGCGTGATTTCATCTTTCAGAGGGTAACAGTGTTTTTTAACGAATGTACCTTGACGAATCAGATTTAATTAATTTACATGTATATGAAGGATTACACTGAAGTGACGTGTTCAGTAGTAAAGAAAACAGCTGTATTTGAAATCTTTATTTAGCACAACTGTAGACGATGCATTGAACAAAATAGAGGAACAGGTTAAAGTAGTGAGACAGGAAATCCAAAATCAGGAAAACGTCCAGGGTCTACACGAAACCATCGATCAACTGCAAAGGAAACTAGAAGCCGAAAAAAGCGCTAAAGCAGAGGCGCTTAAGGCTAAAGAAGAGGCCTTAAACAGGTTATGATGATAGAAATAAATATTCAGAAAAAATAATTTCAGTGAATAAATTTTTTTCAGTGATGAAAATGAACAATTTTAAGGGGTTTTTTTTAACAGATTGAGCTCTGTGGCTGCAAATCGACTTCGAGATAATAATCCTGGTATTACTGATCTCAGTGACCCAAATCGACCAATCAAATTGGGAGAAAAAGCTTCTGAAATTTACGACAACGAATGGACCAATGCTCTAGAAAATCTAGAGGAATTACGAAAAGCGACGGAAACTGCTTACGATGAAGAGAAGGATGTGATGCTTCTTCTGAGTATTCTTACAGTAAGCACATTCCTACCTCAGTAGCAAAAGAACTCTTGTCTCTCTTTCTTTTCTTTCTAATTTTCAGACGCATTTAGCTATTTTTGCAAGGGAAGTGATTTTTTTTTTGTGTTCATAATGTTTTGCAGGATATTTTCCAGATGTGTAGAGCAGATGCCTTGGAACATATTGAGAACATATCTCGAGTGTTACTCACGCCATCTTTTGTGAAAATCAAAGTACTAGTATATTAAAAAAATATCCTTTTTATCAAAATAAGTTTTCATTTCGATTAAAAGTCGCTCTTAGGAAAGTAAAATTAATGAATTAACTTAGATTGATCAATTTTTCAGCATATTTTGAACGAATAATAAAGCAATTCAAATTCGAATCGCAGATAAATTCTTTTGATTGCGTAGATAAAGAAATGTTTAGAAATGAACTTAATTAAATCAGGTTTTATTAAAATCACGTGACAATTTTTGTATTTGGTTTTTTTTTCTTCTTACTCATGCAGCATAAACCAAAAGTCCCCTTGGCTTTTTTGAAAGAAATTAAAGATTTTCGAAAACAGCATTGCACAGAATCGATACTCCAGAGTCTATCGGAGGTAAAAAAAAACAAACAAATCAAAACAAAGTAACACTGTTCTTTGTACTATTGGTATATGTAATATTCATAAGATAGAAAATAATTACTGCAGTATAAGTATTGATTGTTGATTGAGAACCATTGATATACGTGAATATACTTGTGTTGGTTTTAGCATTATATGGAAAAGCTCCCGGAACAAAATCCAGATCAGCTTACTCCAGATGTTATTAAAGCCTGCAAGGAGTATATTCACAAATGTGTAGAACTGTCATGGTTGATGTCCATACAAGATCCACCTATGTGTTTAGAATGGCAATTCAAGGGCGGCGATTTCAGATCGGATACAATGCGATCTTTTACAAGGAGCGGGGAAAAAGTCCAGTTTGTCGTCTGGCCCGCCTTGTATCTTCATGATGGCGGACCTTTGGTTACCAAAGCAATTGTTCAAGGCATGAAAACTGGAAAGAAGAAAAGACGAAATTAGTTGTAATGAATCTAAATAAAGCGAAAGAAATTAATGTTAAATATTCATTACAACAATAATTTGTATTTCAACAATATTGTATATTTTTCATAATATAGAACTCATAAAAGTTTAATGGATGAGGTATTGTTAGTTTGTAACAATATAGTTTTTATTCTTACATATGTTATTAAGCACTTATTAAATATACCTTGCTGATACGATCGATCTTCCATTTTTAGAAGCTCTGATATGTAATCCTCCTCACATCTTCTTGACTTTACATTAAATCAGTCAGACTCAAGTTATAATAGTATGTACGCCTTCAGAACCCCTTAAATATGTATGAAAATATTGCAAAATATTGCAGGTAATGGTTCAGTATGTGACCTCAAGAAAACCCTTCAAAATAATGTTTTTTAGTGAAGGAGAATTTTAAATGTAACATTCAATTCCAAAATATATTATTATCATAAATACTGAACCCTCTATCAAAATCCTGAAATTCATGACCCTAAGGTTAAGGATTCTGGTGTTAGGGTGGGGCTCTGTAGATTATATAGCAAAACTTTATTAATTATTAAAGATTTTCTTTACTCCCCCTTAAATTTAGCAGACAAACTAGAAGCATATGTATATTGAGCAAGGTGCTTCTTCCAATATTATTGTGAAATCCGGGGCCCATGGATGAGGGTTTCTATTGATCATTTGTAAGAAATGGATTGATTCTTTGTAAATCTAGATCTTCTCTGCTCATGGATATTAAGCAGACAAAATGAGTGCATGGTTATTGTAAGCAAGAGTCCTTGATCCAAAATTATATAATTCATGGCCCGAAATCCATGGTTCGGGGGTTAGCGCGGGGCTCTATTGATCATACAGTGAAAATGTGTTAATTCTTTTGAAATTTTCTTTAGTAGACAAACCAAGTGCATAGATACGATAGGCAAGATTGCCTCTTCCAAAATTATGAAATTCATGGCCTATGGGTCAGGGGTTCTGGACTTTGAGCATGTAGGGCTCTATTGATCATATAGTGAAAATGTATTATTTCTTGAAAGTCTTCTCTCACCTGGGTATTTAGCAGACAAAACGTGCATTGTTACGATGAGCAAAGATGCCTCTCCCAAATAGTAAAATTCGTGGTACCTGGTCCAGGGATTCTGGATTAAGGGTCTATTGATCATATAGTGAAAATGCATTAATTCTTTGACAATTTCTTCTCTGCTCCTGGGTATTTTGCAGACCAACGAAGTGCATATTTACGATGAGCAATATTGTTAATCTATGGTGCCTGAGTAGGGGTTCCGGAGTCGGGGTGGGGCTCCATATTGAGCATATATGAAAATCTTTACTCTGCTTTAAGAGAAGATATTCCCTTTTATTATTCACATATGATAATTAATCACTGTAATAAAATGTAGCTGATACGTAAATCAAATTAAAAATATATATAATACAAGAACTTTTAATTTATAATACAAAAAGTACTCTTAAAAGTTTTAAGGTCAGATAGACTTGTGAATAAAAAATGGATAAAAAAAAGACAAAATATTTTATATTAGTAAAATAAATCTTATTCAAAGACTATGAGAGGCTAATGATATGGATTTTGCGGGGTTAACTGAGTGAATACTGTGTCTTAAGCTAAATAGTTATTGTTTAAAGTTCGGTGATAGTGATAGAGTGTTGTCATCACTGGTACCTACAAACAACTAATTAGATTGATTGATTCGTTGTATGTTGTTTTACGTTCCATTCGAGAATTTTTCACTCATACAGAGACATCACCATATACCAGTGAAGGGCTTCTAGACCTTTATTCTGCACTCAGGACCATTGAGCAGTGAGGGTTCTTTATCGTGCCAACGCCTTCCGTGACACGGAGCCTTGGTTTTTCAAGTCTCATCCGAAGGACTCCAACTGATTAGATCTAATTTCAAAGTTGTTGATCTTTGATCAACTAATTAGATCTAACTTCAAAGTTGTTGATCCTTGATCATCGTATTTGTTCTTCTATGAGCAATATATTTTCATCAGTTTATTTTGGTTCATGAAGTCATTATTTAATTAACATTCCAAGGATCTTTTACAGGATTGAATTATACTAAAGTGACCATTTTAGTCCTGTGGGCCTCTTGTTGTAAACGTATAAATTATATAGGTATAAGTAAATAAATGCGTCATACCTCTCAATAAAGAGATGTAGAGTGTAATATTCTCAACATAAATATCTCCTATCCTTTGCAGAAATTGTCCGCGTTCGAAGCGTATTCTCGGCAAGTCTCTATAACCCATTACCGGAACTTGTTTAGAGCGGGTCCGAGGAAGCCAATTGTTTTTAAGGATGTCAAGTTTTAGCATTTCCCAAGTGTTCCTTCACTGACAGGGAAATCCAGTGGTTTTAAAATTTAGTTCAAATGTTCAACTCGATTATCATGTAGTTATAGACACTGTACAATAATATGTAAGTGAAATAATTTTTTAATAAAAATATAAAGTGAAATCCATCCTCCTTCTTAATTTTGATCTGATTAAATTTTTATACTTGATCGTTCTTCTTCGTGTTTAGTGAAAAGAATAAGATAATTTATTGTTGCATTTAATTGTAGAAATATTTATCTTTATAGATGAAGCACAACAATGCACCAAAAAAACATAGCATTATATTTTCTTCTTCGTACCAACTGTTAGGTAGAGTTAAAAATCTTGAATATAGTCCGTTCCCCATTCATTGATCCCGTTATTCCAGGTATAGAGTGAAGGCATTCTCCTTGTTTTGGTCAACCCTTTTGTGTACCAAAGAATATAAGGAACCCTTTTGTGTACATAACAATACCAATTGAAGCAGCCTATATGTCATTCCTATAAATGACAACTCAAAAATCGGCACTTTGTTGGTCATGTTTTACATTTGTGTTACCTGTCCTTAAAACACCACATCGTACAAATCAAATATTAATAATTAATTTTTTTTTATGATTTAATCAAAGGTAAGTATAGGCTATAATCTTTTTTAAGAATTTCATGTACCTACAAATATATCTATCAATTGTTTTTTACCATATGTATAACTTGAAAAATTAGTTGAAAGGCCTACTACCGTAGGGCAAATGGTAAAAAGCCAAAAACACGTGCATATTGATGATGGCAGGTTTGTCAACAAATCTTGTAATACCCCTTGATGCACTGAAGATATAAACATCGTTTTTTGATATTTAAAGACAATTTGAATTGTTTGTAATCACAGTATGGCTGACGGAAGTACCATTGGGTCTGGTATTGCATTGCCTAAGTAAAGAAAAAAGAAAGAACAGGTTCCTGTGCAGTTTGTTGTGAATTTTTTAACCATAGAAGTCTTATCCGTCGCCAGAGAGGGACTGGAAATGTTTCCAATCAACCGTGACGGTGACGTTGGCGCGTAACAACGCCAAATCAAGATTGGGCTATTTATCCTGCCATCTATGTAATCGCCACTTAGGACCACTGAAACCACTTTTAATACAATAGGCAATCATAATCGTTACATTCACCCAAAAACTGAGAGAAACCCATTGCGCGATTTTAGCTTATGAGCTCGTCAACTTTGTGTCACTGTTCCTCTCACTCGCGCACGTGTGCGCATTATGCCTATTGCAGCTTGTTAACCCACGGCCCAATGTAGCCAAAGTTTGTCAAGATTTTCTCACAAACATTCACATTAACCCACTGGTGTCCGTACAATCCATCTTTTTTCCTCCAGTCGAACATCTGTGGGACTAAATGGACGGTACGGTTTAAATGCGTCGGAATGTCCAAGCTGCTCTCGACAATCTATAAGCGCTGCCTTGTCGAGTTCAAGTTCAAGTTCATTTATTCACTCAAAACATCTAATATATATGGTACATGAGGACAATGAAAAATATTTACAACATATAAATTCCGGTCAGAGGTACAAGTATATGATATACTTAATAAATTCAGAAAATGAAGTGAAAGAAGACAAAAGAAAAAGAAACGCAGGGTAAACTTTTGAAGTTATTTAATTTATTTTCGAAAGTATTTTCCAGTATTGTTATCTAACACTCATCTTTTATCAACAAGTAAACAAAATCTCATTTGATTTTGACCGATAATTCATGAATTATTGAAACTCAAATGATGGTAAACCCCCCACCCCCCACCCCAAGTGAAAATCGAAAATTCTCTATCTCCTATTCTCCTATGCCTCCCTCGCGTATATGTCACAGTTAATTCTCTTATGCATGGAATTCATTATAAGTGCATTGTCTTTATCGTAGGGATATTATTCAATCCTTTCAAGAAACATCTATGTGACCAAGGCCAAAAAGCAATGTATGGTGTAATCAGAAAAATTAGACAATTCAACCTCCCTTTAGCATGCATGTATGCGTTTCTTTTTCTTTTCAGATATATTTCGTGTATGCTTGTATGTTGTATGTGTCTTTAGTTTCATTTTTTCTATTCATTTCATTGTCGTAGGACAATTTATGATTACTTTTTCATTTAATTTGAAATTTCTCTCTGTGTCCGTTTTAATATGCAATTATGTTCTCCTTTCTTTTTTTTTCCTACCTTTAAAACATACAAATAATGTAGCATAAAAATAATTTTTTGACGTTCTGGGTGTTTTTTGGTCTTTATATCATTTCTTTACATGGATTTTGGGGGTTCAAGGGAGTATATTTTTAAATGATTTATAGACTTATATTAAAGTCAAAGATATATCTTTAAATAAATGATAATTCATGGAAAAGGCCATATTTGGTCTCTTATTTAAATCCAATTTTGGTGAGAGTATTGTATAATTATTATTGTTTTAAAACATAACAAGAAATGGAATAAAAACCAATGATTCTTTTGTTCGTAATTCGTATATGATTTTCTTTCTTTGCATTAATGTTTACGCACTTGCAATATCGACCGCTACCTTTCTAATCGCCGTAGACAGGATAAAAATAGAATAAAAATCCGTCGCCCATAAAAGAAAATAAACAGGAAACAAATCAACTTCCTGAGGATGGACAAGTCTGGGAAGAGCGGGTTTTTCAGAAGAAGTCATTCTCTACCGAACACTAAAGTGAAGAAAGGTCAACGCCGGGAGCATCCCATTGAGGACAGGTAAACACAAAGATAATGCCTTTGATGAATGTTTTATTAACTTTTGTCAAAACGAAAGTAGACTACGTCTCGATATGTTTACTGTTTATCTTACCTATTATATTCCCCGTATTTTTAATCAAGAATATTTATCCCAACTAAACAAAATTGCTAACTCATCACTCAATTTCCTCATCTGTATATAGAACATTTGTCTAATCAGCATAATGTAGAGCGATATATTTATTATATTGTAAGGCATCCTCACAATATCAGGGGTCCTGAGTCCATTAGTGGTAGTAGGACCAGGGCGACTAATGGACTCAGAACCCCTGACATCGTAAGATCCCCTAGTATCGTCTGTACTCAGTTCATCACTTTTCCAGTTGCCACATCTTGTTATACTATTGTCATGTGGTGTCTGTTGAATGTCGTGGCCAAATTGAGAAAATTTTAAAATTTGTTGATCTATTCATAACGTTAACCCCCCCCCCCCCAATTTTTTTTCCTTTTTTTTTTTTTTTACAAAAGTATCTAAGGGAAACCCTATAGAAACCACATTGAATGCATAAATTGAGTATATAATATGATCAATTTGAATTAATGAAGATATTATTTTCCAAGTACATACCATGAATATTCTACACATAGATAGATTATTATGATTTCGTCCTTGCTCTAAAAATGAATATCACTGAATAATTAAAGGACCATTTTTTACATTAACATTACAAACATTGTAGAAAGTAATATGTAATTAAACTATTGTTCATATGCATGTTTTTCGTTCTGTAGCTGTTACGATATATATATATAGAGAGAGAGAGAGAGAGAGAGAGGAGTATTAGCTTATCTGCTTTGTATATCGTAGTATAATGCTCTAGGAATGAATTATTATGAATACCAGTAAATGTAATGCGAGTTGTTGTTTTGTAACATGTAGACAAGATGAAGCTAACCCAGAAGAGGTACATGACGTATTACGTAATATCAAAATTTTGGCCATCAACGCGAAGAAGTATTTCAAAAAGAAGAAAATCTACCGTTATTACTGCGAAGAATTGATTGATAGGTGGATTCCAGACCTTAAAAGGGTTGGTTTGTAATGATTCATATATGTAGAAAGTAAATTTACAACATTAAATAATTGAAGGACTATTCTTTACGTTACTATAAGTTAACACAGATGGTAATATGTAATTAAACTATCGTTCATATACATGTTTTTTGTACTGTAGCTGTTACGAATTTCCTCAAGGGAGGAAAAACGAAACAAGGAAAAGGCCGAAGCTGAGGAAGAAAATTTCCGTCAAGAGACAAACAGAGAGTTCCGAAATTTTAGCAAGGACTATAATAGGTCAGTAAAATCTAGATCTACATTTATTTTGTAAACAACAATATGCAATTATATGAAAGGGGGAATTTGTAGTGAACCAATTAAATGAGAACAGAAAAAAAAAGAAAATTCAGAACTAGACATTTTCATTATTTAAAAGAGAGGAACTATGTGTTTGTAAATGTCATAATAAAAGTTTGAGGATTTCATTCTAAAACTAACTCTCAGGAAGAAAAAGGTGTCTGATGAGGCTATAATTTGGAAACAAAAGTATGAAGAAGAACTGGCTGAGCTGAGGAGAAGACACGAGGAGGAAATATCTACACTGAAGAGGGAGCATGAGGCGGCAATGAAAAGGTTCTTAGTACAAGTGTTACATTGAAATGACATACATTCTATAACAGTTATAGATAAGCTTAACTTGATAAAGTCTGAACTTTTAATGTAACACAAGAAATGAAGTTTATATATATTAGGGAAGAAATGATTGTAAAAAATTCTTTTATTCAAAACAATCAAGTCAATTGTTTGTATTCACATATTTATTTTGCAGATTGAAAGACGAAAAGGAAAAACTTCTGACGCGGTAATATTCTTTAAATGCATAAAATAATATATTTTTTAAGAAAAGGTTACTGAAATATCGGAGTTCCATTCTATCTGCTGGCATATTTTATGAAGGTTAAGCCAAGCAGCTGGAAACAAATTGAGGGAGAACAACCCAGCCGTATCCGACCTCAGTGACCCTAATCGACCCCTGAAACTGTCAGAGAAGATCAGTGAACTGTATGATAATGAGTGGACAGACGCAATGGAAATCCTGGAGGCGGATCGAGAAGAAAAGAAGGCGGTAGAGACACTTCTGCGTATAATTGTGGTGAGAATGGCTTCTCTGTTGTTATGAAGGTTATGCAGAAATGGATTGTTTTTACATTCGAATTTACCTCTACCTGTTAGATTATATGAAATTTTCTGCTTTTTTTTCTCTTTTAGAAATGCTATGAGCTTTGCGAGAAATTTTCAAAGTCTCAGTTATCAAGTCTGAAAGGAGCTTGTTGGGGAGATAAAAATGTAAGTTGTTTCACTCCATATTCTGGTCATTCCTTATTTATTGCCGCATGGATTATAGTAAATTACAAGTTTTACTTTCATTTTCAGAACGTTAAAGAGGGGGATTCTGTTCCTACGAACAAAGCCATAGAACTTAGAAAGGATATTGCATCCTGGATGATCAGTTCTTCTAGTCTCCCTCAGGTAATTTCTTTACTTTGATTTGGGGAGAGGTATCTTCAGTTTAGCAATGAATAATGTTTTTTTCTGTTTTAATTGCTTTACAAAGTTCAAAGTATAAACTGAAGTACAAAAGAAAAAATGTAGCATTAATACAATACACGGAAAATTCAAACGTTGAGAATAGTTACATAAAGAATACATGTCGTGTGGAGAACAGAATTTGATATAAAACATTAAATAGCTTCGCATTATCCTAGTTCTTTTTGTCAAATATACTGCATCATTTTTTTATTTACATTATGATCACTTGTATTCTGTTCACCGACAAATAACTAAGTTTTTATCATTATTATTATCCAAAGATCTCTATATGTCTTTAGGCTATTTTGCAAGAAATAGAACAAGACATCGGGAAAGAAGATGCAAAGAAATGTGAACCTTATATCCAGAAGTGTGTGCAATATTGCTGGTTCATGTGTGTTCAGGATCCCAACATGCATGTCGTGGTCTGGACCAGTGGGACTAAATTCGATAACAATGAAATGAAATCTTTCACAAAGATTGGACAGTACGTCGACTTCACAGTTTGGCCTGCTTTATACTTGCACAAAGATGGACCTTTGTTATCAAAGGCAATAGTACAAGGAACCAACCACGCTGTGGTGTAGTGAATACATATCGTCTTTAGTATGAGGTTGTAGTGAAGATGTTGTTCCAAAGATGTTTGTTCAGTAATCATTCCATAATCAAATTCCATTTTATTTTTTTTAAATCCTGAATAGTTGTAACTTTAAGTTCAATATATTGTTTTTGCATGGCTTACCGTCCAGGGATTCTTTTGTAAACCTAGATTATCTAAAGATTGTTTTATATCAGATGAATGTTTTACTGCAAAGTGTTCTACAGTAGTATTCTTGCCAGTTTCAAAGTTTCCATTTTTTATTTTCATTTAATCTACACTTGTAACGCTTGCTAAAGGTCTTTTGGCCCTATATAGGTATTCAGTTTCAATTCAACCGCTTAATACTCGATTTATTCTTATTGTTGTGGTGTCAGAGTGATGTTAAATGTTTTATTGTTAGTAAACTAAACTATAGTTAGTGATTTTTTTTTCTTCAATAGACGAAATATTTCACCAAAATGGTTGTTCAATTTAATCTTGATTACAAGTTATATTATTTACAGCTTAATATAGCTGAAGCAATTTATATATACTTTGTATACAACTATATTAGAATATCATTTTCTAAATAAAGAAAAAAAGTGAGAAACACAAAAATCTTTATTAATACACAAAATTGTTTACACACTATATTCATTTGTTATCGGTGATTGTATTGAAAATAGTTAATGCATTGAAAAAATGAAATAAAACAAAACTAAAATCTTTAATTTTTATTACTATAACTTAAAGTGCCATTGAAGGGACAGACAGTAAAAAAATTATTCGGAGATTTTTTTTTTTGCGGACATTTTGGATATTTGTTCGGAGGTAAGACATTCGTTCGAACGAATTAGATTAGTACAGAAGAATTAGATACTAGATGTTTGGACAAAATAATTTCTCGGACGACTTGCAACTAGTTTGGACGAATTACTAATTCTTTGGACAAGTTACAAGTACGTTTGTTCGGACGGGTTATAAATTGTTTGCATAGTGTATGATTTATTTACACACCATGATGAAGGAAGGATCTAGAAAATTCAAGGTATGATATATATGGATCGAGTGCGCATCGGGGATGTTTACTTGGGATATCGGGGGGGGGGGGGGGGGGGTTGTGTGAGGGTATTCTGTTTTTAAATTTATTTTATCTTTGAATGGCCTTAAGAATTGGATGATTAGTACTTGACCAAAAGTTATTTAATTACTGCATGTTAGAAGCAATTCTATACATGTATTCAATTGGTTTTTGAAGACCTATATCTCCCTAACCCCTAGTCTTTAATGTACCGTTTAAAAAATTGTAAACTTTATAAAAGATAACAATAAAATACAGGTACATTAAATGAAATATACTATGATATGAAGGGTATTCATAGGGAAGGGGGACCTGGCTTTAAAGGGAAAGTTCTACTCTACAATAGAGCCCCTCCCCCTTCGAAAAGCTGACTTTAGAGTGCGATTTGTACTCTTGAGTTAGTTTTCTTTGTGAGAAATCCTACTCTAGAGTCAGCTTTCCGGGAGATTTTTAGGGGGAAATCCTACTCCACAAGATGGACGGTACATGAATTAGTAAACAGCCAAACTTATTCAAATATAATTTTTCAGCAAAAAATGTTTGGCTTGAATTACATTTACCACTGCTGTTACTTCTATATCAATACCAAAAAAATCTTGCATTACATACAATATAAACACCCAGGAGTATCCTTATTTATTAATGAACCAGAACTGTAAAAAGTGTCTGCTTCAGAAAATGGTTTTTGAAAGAGTCCTTTTTATCGTCCTTAAATTCCTGTTTTCACATCAGTGATAACTCAAAACATGTTTGTTAGCTTGTCATTTTACTGAAAATGTAATGAATTTTACTAGTCTATGTTGGAAATAATTATGACTTATCTGAAGTTTACGTTTTATTTACACGGAATTGTTCAGAATCTTATGCTTTGTGTTCAATTTTGAATCAACACAGACTGAGATGAGCTTTTCGATACATCCGATTTTCATTTTTGAGAATTAAATATTTCCTTCTGAATATGATACAAAATCAAATCTCGACTAAAGGAATCGAATACGTCAAGAAATTAGCAAAGAATATAAACCAGACTGCAGTTTGTTGCAATTTTTGATCCACGCCACTCGACACCTTTATTTACACAGCCAGGTTTTAATTTATCGTATGTAACGACACGCAATTCATATCTTACTATGTTTACCTGGGCACAGGAAGTAAAATCGAGATGCCTAAAAAGGAGAAAACATTCAGTAGGTCAGCCTCACTACCAACAAGGTCAAAGAAGGGACCACCGCCCATTGTTTATGACAGTGCTGCTAATGAATCCAGGTCAGTATGTTTTATGTTGATCTGATGTAAAACAATAAATTCCAGGTTTACAAAAGTCACTAAAACGAAAGTAGACACACGTACAGGTATCTTGTTGACACTATTGTTTTTCTGATATTGTTATCATGATTCTCTAACTGGATTCTTATTTATTTGAATTTCAGTTTGTCACCAGAACAAAGAGAAGCTAGAGTCCACAGAGCTTTAAAAGAAATAAAACAATTGGCAATCAAGGCCAAAAGAACGTATAAAAGAGAAAGAAAAGGCGGAGGACATGCATACACATACACGTGTGAAGAACTCATAAAGACATGGATACCTGAACTCAAGGAAGTAGGTCTTCCAGCATAATACTGGAGTATCTGTATTGTCAAAAATGTTCTTTTCAATTTTTTATGAATCATGCAGTAAAATGATTAATCATATATTTTTAAAATCTCTAGTATTTCTTTTTAAAATCAGTTAACTCCATTATACTTTTCAACAAGCAAAATTCGACAGAGAAATGCATACTACTACATGTATTGAATTTACCTGGTGATAGAATTTTTCAAATATGACTTTTTCAAACTATATTTAATGACACTACGTTGTGGATTTCAAATGAGCGGTATTTATGCATAATTCGACCGAGAAATACATACTACTATCATTTTGTAAAATTTGATGATAAAATTTTTCAAATATGACTTTGTCCAAGTTCACTATTTAACCCTTTTGCTGCCGTACATATTTCCAGTTCAAATTACGTACAGTGCCGTGACAGTTTTCTATTACGTTGAATCTATGATGTAACATAACTGTGACGTAACAAACAATCTAGGTAACTTAGGTATAAATGGTTTTTCGCCTCTGCAGAAAATCGTTAAAATAGAGACATTATAAAAGAACAAATTCTACAACGACAGGCCTCTCCGAAAAAAATACATTTGCAGAACACACAAAATTTTTGCTCAAATAATATTTTTAGTAGATTAGGTAGGGGGTTTATATTTTTTAAATAAGAACAATATGTAACGTCAAGTACCCGTGGATCAAGTGTATATTGCATAATATAATGATCGCAACACAAGTAAAGTTAAAAATATACAAATATACAAATGCAGTGTAATTGTAACACAGTGATTCATAAATAACTACTTATAAGTTTTAGGGATCTACATATGTACCAGTGAAAGTGTTCTTAAACATGGAAAATCTATCGGACTTGAAAACGATTAATTTCGGTTCGTACACCTTATACATATTTTTGAACGTAGATCGACCTTACTTATCACATGCACCAGGCCCGTTGCAATATTTTTAAAAGTCGGGGGGGGGGATCTTCACAAAAAATCTGACAAGCCCCCCCCCCCCCCTCCAAAAAAAACATTGTTCCGAACGCAAAATCCTATTTCGTATGTGGGGGGGGGGGGGGGGGTTCTTACTTTTTTTGGTGCACGTTTAAAAAAAAAACATTGAATTCGCCAGTGCTTGACCTTACAGCAAAAAAAGGATGTGGGGCAGCATCAAATAAAGATTTAATAATAAAAAATTTAACTCAGAAAAACGTGGGGGTCGCCCCCCCTCCCCCAGCGCGTTATACGGGTCTGTGCACACTCACATCTTTCCCTGAACCACTTGTATTGTTTTAAATTATTATTATTTTATATTTGTTCAAACGTTTATAAGTTTCCTGTCACATTTTGTAATCGTGTTATAAATAATAACCTGTAATACACCGACTAAGACGTACGTTACTTCCAATAGTAAGTTTTCTTCGTCCTTACCACCCTTGAACGGCAACTCGGATGCAATCTGTGGATTGTTTGAGTCAATCAAATGAAAAGACTTTGATTTGTTAAAACTTATTTTGTCCTTTATTGTGAATTTATTACAACATTTTTCTACAGTGTTTATGACTTGAATCACAGGCATTTGTTTCTGTAATAATTTTTTGACCCATGGTGTAATAATATTATTTTTATGCTACGGGTTAAAAAAAAATACAGAAAGAAGTGCCAGTGCTTTGAATTTGGTGCAAGATATATAAACATCTTCAAGGTCCTTAAAAATTAAGAAGCATTCCATTTGTTAAAACTAAATATTCCGTCAACATGTAACTTACAATGTGCACCTACATGTACATGTAAGTAGAAATTGACCTTAAAAAGTATAAAAGTTTTCATATGTTTTTAAAACAGAGTACACGATCATGCCAAACATTTTGCCGATCGGCATCACTTAATGTGCGATCCTACAACTGAAATAACATGGTTGATAAATAACGGACAAGGTTACTACTGTATAATTATACAAGCTTATCTTTTAAAAAGATTGGTGAGCTAGCGCTGTAGCATAATAAAATACAGAAGATATCTGTACCATTTGTTAAATTTGCTGAATCGATTAATTATTAATAAGAAGGCACATTGGAGCACTGGGGGTTGAGTCGGGGGGGGGGGGGTCATAATTCAGAATGGTGAATCTAAGAGTGGGCTTCACGTCGGCAATGGCAGAACTCCTAACTGTGCTTTAAGCATTCTGTATTCTACTGTAATTTCAATTTGGAGGTGAAAAAAAGGTCAGTAGAACCAATGAGCACCTAGTTTAAAATATTCCAGTGTGGTACTGTTTTTTTTTAGCAATCGAATCTTCTCGGAACTTTCCGGCAAGCTCGGTAAACATATCCGAGGTAGCGACGGTTTTCCGGACTTGCTGGAAAAATCAATGAAGGTAGATTAGAAGAGTTAGGTATTCATTACAATTTTAGAAATAACAGTCTTCGTTTTATAAGACCCGAGTAAGTTACTTTTTGTTCATTTTCGTGCAGGATAGACAACAAAACACGAAACTTCAGATCATATGTATTTTCAGATGATAAAAACTAAACTGACATGCCTTTCCGACATACTCTGAAAAGATTTTTTTCTGAGCTTGCCGAAATTATCCAGGAAAGTGGTGTAACTAGATGTCTAGAATCTTGGCATTATATGACCTAAGTTTTTCTTGTACTTTTATGTGTAGGTTAGACAATAAATAAAAAAAAATCAGAATCCGGATCTAGACTGGTATTGCATGTCTCTAACGCAAGAAAAGTTAACGTACATTCGCATGCTATACATTCTGGTTGCAATTCTCCAGTGAGTAAATATTCATTTGTTATTTTTGAATGACCAATACGTATTCTAGAAATAATCACTTCGTCTTGACGTTTCAAGCCGAAATCAGATGATTTGTTGACTTTGTTTTCTATAGCATAAAGCTTACTTGTATCACAAAATTCCCAATAAATCAAGACAAATGAAATACCCATTTAAAATTCCTTTTCTTTCAGACAATTTTCCAGTAAAAGAATAGTAAAATGATTGAATGTTTTCTTTAACAAGAGGCCAAAATGGCGCGAAACTCCGAATGATGACGGAACGTCATAATCAGTTTTACCTGTGACGTAATGTGTTAACAGTAGGCCCAAAATAGGCCCATGGCACTTAACGTAGTTTTTGAAAATAGGCCCAAAATAGGCCCGCGGCACAAAGAATGTTAATGACACTACATTGCGGATTTCAAACAAGTGGTATTTATTGTAATAATGTTCAGTAACAAACTCAGCATCATGGAGCCATGCACTTGTTTTATAAATCCAAGTAGTGAAATATGGTGCAGAAGTTCCATTTTCCTTATGAAGAATACATGTAACTCGTTTACTGTAGTTGCTGGGAATACAGACACACGAGGAAATCATCGAGCAGGAACAAGCTCTTGCTGCCGAGGAAAATTTTCGCCATAACACAAACAGAGATCTGAGGAGATGGAATGACGCCTTTGAGGTGTAAGTAAAAATGGTTAAAACATTATTTTATACACCGATATTGTTGAGGGTCAAAACCATGAAATTTATTTAAGAAATAATGTATCATTTTTAAACATCTATCGGGATATAAATACGGGTTGGTCACGAGATTCGGGCTTTATGGTAAATTTGATCTCGTACCAACCCGTATTTATATCCCGATAGATGTTTAAAAATGATACATTATTACTTATATTTACATTTATGACTTATTCATATTTTATGTTTTCCTGATTATAATCTTTAACGCGTGAAATGTTTTATTTTTCAAACTCAACGGCATGTATTTGATCCATTGATTGCGCGTCGACCCTTTATGACGTCACTGAGAAATTACGTCGAACGTTTATGACGCGAGGAACCCGTGTTTATACGGATATAGATACGCATTGCTTTTAATAGTGTTATATAAAAGAAAACATTTGCAAATGTAAATATACTAAAATGAAACAATTTCTTCAGGAAGAAAAAGTATGAAGACGAAACCAACCAGCTTAACAGTCGATATCAAGACGAATTGCATAAAATTAGAAAAGAACATGAAAGTGTTCTAAGAAGGTAATTCTTATATATGAAAGCAGGTTATTTGTTTCTATCGTATTGTACAATTAATTTCCTTTGACTGTTGAAGTGCAGTTTTTTGTTTTAAAAATATTTGTCACTTTCAGTTTGAGAGAAAAGGAAATTCAACTGAAGAGGTAATGTTACTCATTTTGAAAGATTATTTTCTTGAACAGTTTCATTTACTTGTTGCTAAAAACTAAATATTCATTACTCCAAAGTATTAACTGAAGCATATCAAACATTGTCCTAGGCGGGGGAGAAGGAAGCGTATTTTAAACTTTGAAATTTGTTTATTGCAGTTTATCTGAAGAAAAAGAAAATCTGTTGACAAGGTAATATGAATGATTAATTGAATGACTTTCTTTTGTTTCAATTCTTATTTTTATTAATACATAAGGCTCATCATGAATAACAAGAAATAGTAGGTAACATTAATGAATACGTTTTTTAAGATCTGATAAAATGTTATTATTTGTAACACTGTTCAGTAAACTCGGACTCTCAATGCTTTCATATTGAATACATAGAATAAACATGTTGAATATAATAACATGTATTAAGAAATTTCAGAGGGAGTTCCACAGCATTTTAGTTTTATTCAAATCATTAATTTATAGGCTAAGTCAGGTTGCAGGAGCCAAATTACGAGACAATAACCCGGCCGTGTCCGACCTCAGTGACCCCAATCGACCCCTGAAAATTTCAGAAAAAGTCAGTGAGCTTTACGACAATGAGTGGACAGACGCAATGGAGATCTTGGAGAATGACTGCAGTGAGACCGAGGCAATAGAAACACTACTCACCATTATTCTGGTAAGTTTTATTTCTGACCAACATTGAATTTCAAGGTATTTAAAAGAAGAAATATATTAAAAAGCATTTTTCCTTCTTTTTTAAAGAAATGTTTTAGACTTTGTAAAGATTATTCCAGTTTCCAGTTGAAAACTATGACTACGGCTCTCGTTCTAAATGAAAAGGTAGGTTATATTTGATTTTGTTTCTTTAAGTATATAGGATATGGAATTTTTCTTAAAAACAGGTTATTTTATATCTATTACAACACTTCATTTTACAGCTGACACCTGATCTTACTTTAGCAGAAAAATATGCCAAAGATATACAAAAGAGTTCCTCAGCCTGGATGTTGAGCGATTCTTGTCTACATTCTGTAATGCTTTGAATTCCTATTATATCATTTTGTGCACTTTATTCATATACTTAACAGAAGATACAAAGCAACGATTCTGTTTCTTTGATTTTCAGATAATATGGCAAGAAGTTGAAAAGGCTGTTGGAATGCAAAATGCAAATAAATGCAAACCTTATATTCACAAATGTGTGCAGTACTGTTGGTACATGTGTATCCAGGACCCTCCAATGACTGCAGTTGCTTTCCAGAAAGGGACAGAATTCAATAGCAATGGAATGAAGTCTTTTACTAAAATAGGACAGTTTGTTGACTTTACAGTATGGCCAGCATTATACCTTCACGAAAACGGTCCCTTGCTTTCAAAAGCAGTAGTACAAGGAACCAATGTTCAAGGCACCAATAAACCACCTCCAGAAAAAAATTACGAGGACAGGAAAAATAAACAGACCAACAATCAAGAAATTCCTACTAGAAATTACCGAAAAATGGAACCTCAGAACTATCGACCCGCGGAAACGGCTTACCGTGCGATATCAGATGATCGGTACATCGAACCACATCTTGAAAGAACGAGGAAAGGATACCCTGAAATTCGCGATACCAAACATGGAAATGTTGGACAAAGAGACTATCGACCAGAATTTGTTGAGAGTCAATACTCAGACCCCCTGCCAAACAGAGGCCAATACATGTCGTACAGTTCCCCACAACCTCCCCATCTGCCAAACAAGGGGCGATCACAGCATGTTCAATATACTACACAGACTGACATTCCAGCATCAGTTTATAGAAATCAGGCATATCCTTCAAACACGAGATATGAGCATCATGGGAACCACCCACAATATAGACCTGAAAAACAGTTTCTTCAGGCAACCCATAGCCGGAGTGCTCCAAATGAGTATTATAATGAAACTTATGAACAAGCTCCTCCTAAAACACAATATAAAAGACACGGCAATCCGCATGCGTCACGAACATATTTCAAAAATAACAAGGAATACAGATCAACAGAACTATGAATTTAGATATTTAAAGTTATGCTACTTGTGTCAAGAAATTGAAATGAACATGCTTAAATGCATAACGTTTACCCTTTAAACATCCGGAATGTTCTCAGCGCAATACTCATGACAGCCATATTCTTAGTAAAAAGGAATAGCCATTCCGTTTGCAATCGATTTATTGATTATTTGCAAAAGAACTGATATCACAATGTTTTGTATTTGGAATGTATTCTTTGGATATATTTTATGCGTCCTATTGTATATCTTGACCAGAACAAAAACACTGAACTATTGAATTCACGTTATCAATGTATATGATTTAAATTTTAAATAAATTAAGAATATTCAAGATATAAGGATTGGTCTTTATGACTTCATAGAAAAGTCACATTTAGCTAAAATACATTTTTATCATCGGTATATGCATACAAGTTCTGAATTTTCGCGTTACGCTTTTCAATATATATTTATATAGATTAACATTTAGCGCGCTTAATTCTGATTTGTATCCTACTATAATGTATGTTGCACGAAATATTTTTTTTTTTCAATACTTTAAACTGTACACACAGTCACAGATTAGGAGACACAGATTAAATATATCGGGTTAGTTATTTAGGAAATCAAATCTGGCTCGAAACGTCTGCCCAGTCGTTCTCTCGCTTGCTTCAACAGTAAGTTCTGTCTTACCAAAAATAAAACCAACAGACACGTTGTTTGACGCTTCCACGATATTACCGACATTAAGTATCATTTCTCCAAGGGGTTTACAACCTTCGTCGGTGACAAACATCGGATCTGTTTCCGATGACGAATACACCCTTACGCGACTGACTGAAGATCCTCTTCCCATTGTAAATGGAACTGAGTGTACACATCCATGCTCCACTGACTCATCGCATTCCACATATTTGTGAAAAATGTCTTTGCACATAATCCCATTTGCTGTCGCAATTCTCTTTTCAGGTGGATGGTGTCCCTCTATAAATGGCTTGCTGATGGCTATGCCAAATGTAGAATGAGAAATCCTAGATCTGATGGAGAGCGGCTTATGGCCGAATATGACAGCTCCTTTTAAGACCGTTAATCCAGCGTCACCAGGCGTTATTATCTTAATGTGGGGAAACTGTTGCCTCAAGGTTTCTTGCACAATTGGTGATTCTGCAAATCCACCAACTAAAAGGAAAGTTTTCGTACCCCGAACATTCTGTACCAACAACACCTTTTGAAGATGCTCAATGAGTTTATCCAGAGGATCTCTGAAAAAGCCTTTCACCAATTCCGAGTCGATTTTAATTTTGTCGGAGATAGAACTTATTCTCTTGTAATACATTTCGTGATTTTCAACAGCTTCCTTGAAAGATCTGGATTTCATCTTCTCATACAATTCGCGTAAAGAAATAGGAACTTTGATTACAACGCGTTGTGGCATGTCTTCCTTGCATGTAACAGTTCGTTTCTTTAGTTCAAACTCTCTGAAAATATCCAAATAATCCCCGCCATGCTTTGAACGGAATTCTGCCCAAACCTCTTCTTCCACAATGTCGATCAAGAACTGTTCATAAGCTGCATCTACCTTTGTTCCACCCCAAGCCCCGCCTGTTGCACGGTGTAATTCCCTTAGTGTGCCATCATTGTCCACCTGATGGACGGTAATATCAGCTGTTCCTCCTGCAATTCATATTGAAATTGAAATCCCTTGCTAAATATAGGTTTTAAATAAGTTAACTATATAAAGTTTGACATTAGAATTTAACAGCAAATTATTTTTTTTTAAACTTTTCATACGAATAGTGATATATTCTAAAATGTGTACAAAGCTTTGAATTTGATGCAGCTACCTCCGAGATCGATCACCATGTACTTCGAACCCGAGTCAAACACATCAGCCCCAGTTGCATCTGGAATATGGCGACAAAAGACAGAGGCTGCTTCAGGTTCAAGTGCAATAATCAATTGGTCATTAGTAATATCTGCCTGAAGTTTAAACAAATTTGTTTTACTAGTATTTGGTATAAAACGGAAAATTTAATGCATATTATAATTGTTATTGATACGTCCTTTTCATATGAAGAAGAAAAAAGTGAACATTATGTTAAGACATCAATCTTTAAATCTAATACAAATGTACACTTCTATATTTGAAAATAAAAATGACACTGCTTTTTAACAATGTAATTTCAATACATTTTTTTTTGTCAAAATAAAACCTTTTGTGCTGCTTCTCTCATGAATTGTTTTGCTGGCTCTGACCATATTGCAGGTACAGTTAAAACCCAACGAATTTCTGAATCTTCTATCTCGAAACCTTGCTGCTTCATTATATTTAACGCATGGCTCTTAAGGTATGAAATACCGTGCCCAAATACAACTTTTGCTGGCAACTCCTTTCCGCTTGCGTCAGCTATTTTAGTATCCCTAGAAAGATGCTGTCGACAAAAAGAAGAACAATTAATTGTTCATTTCTTTTTCTGAAGGTACTTTGTACTTGATGATAATGCATTATCTTCTATATTTACCGGATTTCTGTGAAGAAGCATTTTGAATCGTCTGAAGAAATAGTATTCGTGATGCTCATCATCCACAGCTAGGTCTGCATACGTGTCCTCTGCTTCATACCCAAACTTGTAGAATTCTTTATTTGGCTTCAGTAAGAGTGAACTCGGGGTTTTGGAAGAAATAAGTCCTCCTGAGGCAGGAATCCAGTTGGTAAAAGCATATATTTTTGTGGGGTCATTCTGGAATTGATTTAGGAGGGAAAACGCATACCCAGAGTACGTTGTCCCAAAGTCGATGGCTACAACAACTAAAGGACCTTCGTCTTCATCAGACATTATTATCAATGTGTCTGCTAGACAAAAAAAAAGGAAGCTCATGGGCTACAATGCTCATTTGGATCTCTCATCCTTCTAAAGAAACAACATCTTTATTGTGGCTTTAACTTGAAGTCTTTGTTATCAAGAATTTAAATAAGGCCTGGTGTTAAGTTTACAAAATGTAGATCCAGTTCTTCCTAATTTTTTTTATGAACAAATGATGTTCCTGTTCTTCCTAAAAAAAAATTATGAACAAATGATGTGCAAAATTTTGTTTCCTTTTATAGTCCTACTTTGGCCCAAGAAGTCAAGATTTTATCAAAATTGAATCTGCACTATACTTTGATACAACTTATTCCAGAAATTAAGTTTTTACATATTTAGCCTCTTCATTTATAAAATCAAGATTGATCTTTGGTGGCCCCTTCTCAGTTACAAATGTAATTATTTAACAAAATTCTACATGTACATGTATATGGCAATGCCTTTATATCAAATTCCAAATTGTGACCGCACTGTTCTCAAAGTTTTTTCTGCAAAATATACTTTGTATTCCATTGAAGACTTTATTTCCATTTGTGACTAAGTCCGAACCCTGGTTAAATAAGATCTATAATTTAGCTTTTCTTGATTATCTCTCTTTGATGAGCACAGGGCCTTTAAATAAACAGTTGAAGGATGCTTTGTGCCAAATTTGGTTGAAATTGATTCCATAATTGTGATGAAAGTATGGAAAATGTTTGAGGTGGAAATAAAACATAGCATTGTTCAATTCATCATTTACAACAAAACAGATACTTGGTGTTGACATTTAATTCGTACAGTTCGGTGATTCTGCATATTTTTACGTTTCAAATCTTTTAATAAATACTGTGTATCAAAAAGTGACCAAAGTTATCTTCCAAAAAACTCTTTAAAAGAAAAATTAACATATTTTATGATAAGACGAAAGACATGTGATTCTTACCTGCGCATTTACTTATTAAAATTTATTGTGGGGTTTTTTCAGAGTTGGTACCAAACCGAAAGTAGAAATTTTCAGTTTCGTTTTGATTATTCATCCTTGTTTAAATAAAATGAAGTAGGCGATGGTCGATAACAACTATATTCGCGACAAGTCGACCAATAAACTACACACAGTAGATTGAAATTGTCTTTCGGTGATATAATAAAACAAACTTGAAAACTGTCTCTTTTTATTTACAAAGTTTATTGGCAACAGAAATATACAATGAATTTCATGTATCCCTTTTCTTTTCCTTTTTGGCAGTTGCTTTTGGCTTCCATTTCCTTCTCTTATTCTTCGAAATTCGAGTTCTTATGCTGAAGTCTTAAAAAGTAAAACGATGATAATAAAATTTAAAAAAAAGTCAGAATGCCTTTTTCTACTTTTTGATATTACAAATATTGATGAAAAAATAGGATCGACTTCCTCCCTCAATGTGAAATGGATCCATTTTTTACCGAGGAACTTAAAATCAATATAATATTTTGCAAATAAACCATCGTCTTTACATTAATTTAAAAAAGGATATTTTTTGAATAAAGTACTTTGAAGCATAACCCTTTTTTTTTAATATTCTCTCTGTGATTCACTATTTTTTGCTCAGTCACGTTGAGACAACTGTAAGAAACAATCAATCAATATAAAAAATCCTATATGTTACATGTACAGTGTACGTTAGATCATATTTATATTATTATTTTGGCAAAATTTTATAATCAGCTAAGTTCCGGACTTTCTCTTAACGTTCTTTTATTAAACGTGACTATCGCCGTATGTAGTGTGCTTGCCTACTTTTGAAGATGTAATGTATTCACGGGATCACGCTTCACTAAGGAACCATTTTCTCAAGAAAAATGAATTGAAAATACATGCTAGTAAACAAGGGATTATAATGACCATCCTAATCGAAAGGTTTCGAATCATTCCGGTTAGAAGAATATATGAGACATGCTAATTTTAACACGTTTATATCTCTTGAAACTTGATTTACTCTATTCCTACCCAAATGAATTTCTGTAAAGGGCGTTTTCCTTCTCAAATGTTTCTGGGATTTTTTTTTATGTTTTTATATACGACTGATGTCATTAAAATCTATTCTGATACACTTTATGGGTGAATTCAAAACTAATTACCACCAAACTGAATTTTTTAAACATATTTTTCACTTATATCATCATATTGTACATGCATTCTAGTTAAAATTCCTAAAGTTGCAATATAATAGACAATTGGATAAAAAACTAACTTTCAGAATTTTTATTTGAAAAAAAAGATAATATCACTACATCCTAAAAGACTTTCTAAAATACATAATCAAAAGAAATTATAGTTCATTATGCATCAAAATGGTGTATCAGGGATATAAATGATTAGATCTCAACCTTGAATAAGTTTCTTCTCTTGTATATGTGGGAAAAAATGGCTTTTTGATTGTTATTTTACATTATATTTTTCAATTCTGGTTTAAAAAGTTTTAATATGAAAGAAATATTAAACAATAAAATTCCCCCAAAATTACTTTTTGGTCCATTTAAGGATATATAACGGAAACAGAAATTTGATGCATGGATTGACATATATTTTTTGATTGATTTTGAATAGAAATGACAAATAATAAATCCCTAAAATATTAAGAAATCGTAAGATTTCGTTTGTGCTTAGATGTGCAACTGTGTGATGTTTTCTATGTAATTCTATACCAAATTTTGCACATATGTTTTAACATTATGACAAAATCTTACAAAATTCTCCCACTTTACATGGCAAACATTGTTCAGGTTACCTATTTGAATATAAATCTATGAGAAATATTGTTGATTTCCGAAAAAAGTTTGTTTGTGTTATTTACCCTTAAGTCAAATTTTTAAATCTAAGCCGAAAAAATTGATATACAAGTTCTCTTATAAAAAATACCAGATTTTGAAGTGACCCTATTTTACATAATTGCGTTGCTAACCTGACATTTGATATGTTATTTTATTGAACATTGTCTTAAAAATTATAACACACAATAACCCATTCTTAATTTGTAAATCAGTTCGTCGTTTTGATATTTTTTTTTTATCATTTACGGCAAGTTTTGTCATATTTTCAATACTACAAAACATGATTATTTTGCAATGTGTATTATATTATATTATTATATTATATTATATTATATTATATTATATTATATTATATTATATTATATTATATTATATTATATTATATTATATTATATTATATATCATATCATATCATATCATATCATATTTAAAAATATGTGTTAAGTGATGAAAACTATTCTCTGAATTGACTGTCAAATATCTGTAATTTGTTGATAAACACAATATTTTGAACATCAAATAATCAAATCAAACATTTTTTTCAATCTATTTTTTAGTTAAGATAGATGAAGATCATTAATAATTATAAAATACATGTAGTTTTGTTGCACTCCTGACTGCAGTAAAATTAAAAGTTAAAATCATATAACTCAAAAATGCATAATGTGTTGGCAACATCAAGTGGTAATGAAATTGTGCAATATTTATAGTCCAATACTTCATAATTAAAACACATGGACGTATTTAACCTTGGTTTTATAACTTGAATTATTCCCTATTTATGTCCAAAAACTTGCTAAAAGATATATTTAGAAGATAAAATATACTTTATAGTATATTTTCCTTCACAAGATAAACACTGTAAGCAACTGAGATCAACCAGAAACATTCTACTCATCAATTTTTTTCTTTATATTTATTCATATTTGATCAGCAATAATTTTTTATTGCATAAAATTTGTTGCACTCCTGACCAAAAACATGGGAGTCTTTAAAATAGAATTGTGAAGCGATAATTACATCAGAGCTTGTTCTGTTGTTTCAGTGAAGTTATGTGGAATTATTTGAATTTTAATACATGTAATAACAATTTTGCAGTGTTTTTATTTTTTACCTTCACAAAAATATCAAAGAAAAGATTAAAAAAAAACACATTTGAATTGATAAAATTAAAAAACGAGAAGGATTTTGATGATAAAACTGTCAATAATTTAGCACTAAATTGTTAAAATAGATCATTATTAATTAAAGAATATTTCCTAACATGAATAGAAGAAGTCTTTTCATCATATAGCATGAATCTTTAAAAAATATATTGCACCTCTGACCATAGAAATATAGATCTGAAATACAGTCAGACCCTGTAATTGATAAATTTATTTGGTAAAAATTATCTCTGTGTCTTTTTTTCCAAAATAGAAATCAGAGAATCATATACTGATAAAAGTTTTTTCATGCTGGGGAGCAAAATATCATATATATGTTGCACTCCTGACATCATTGGGTATGCACAGATACTTGACTCTCATTAATGCTGCCTGTGATTTATATAACATTTTAAAGTTTTAAATTGTACATCAGTTATTGTTTTACTCTTTGAAAATTCTTTTTTGACTTAATTGTCTTTAAGATTTTTAAAATCGATGTTTTTGGAAACACTACATTTTATATGTTGCACTCCTGACATAGTATAACATTTTTTTCAGCATCAGCCGTGACCACAACTTGGTCAAACAAAAGTTGCTACAATTAAAGCTCAATACTTTGAATATTATCAGGAAAGTCTTTATTTCCAACATAAACTATTATTATTTATTTCATAGATCTTCAAAAAATATTGAATTTTCAAAATGTCACAAAAAAGTGTTGCACTCCTGACATTTTTAGCATTATTTTTCGGCATATCTTTTTTATGAATTGAGATATCAATGAGATATTTGGCAGGTATTTAGATACGAAATAAAGATGTATGCTGAGACATAGAAATGTATTCCCATTGCCTGTATTTTAAGAGCATACGCAACGTAGTTTGAACTTTATTGTCTTTTTCCCTGGTGTTGAAGAGTTCTAATACTTAAAGGAACTGTGTGCTACATTTTATGTCTATAAATGCTGTTGTACACTTCTTCTAAAACAAGTTTGGATAAACAAAACATCTAGAATATATGTTTAGTAATTTTTGTTTATTTTTCTTTAAATTATACAAGTATTTTCATCAATTGATATCTTTTCAAAACCCCTGGTAATGCATGCTGATTTTTTGTCTACGAACATCTGATGGCACTATAATCTTAAATTAAGAGTATCTTGAAAAATCATCAGTAGGTAAGGTACGTTGCGTATGTCCTTAAGTGCAGGTTGATAATTAAGTGTTTGGACATTTTTTTTAAATTCACCCTTATTTCTTTTTATCCAGGAGATATAACATTTTAAATTTTGCATATTTCAGAATTACCATAGCTTACGCTAATACCAAATATAAGCAAAATTACGAACCAAGTCACTGTTATGTACTATTTTGTATAAATAAGATGTTAACAAAATACCTGATTGCGTCAAAATGTACACATGCATTTTCCAAACTCGTATTTCTGTCCCTTTGGACAAGCAAAATCAATCAAGCCCATGATTCCGATCTGCATCCTGAAATAACTTTCCCCAAGTGGCGAGGGCATAAGCGGACAACCTGCTTACCAAAATAATTCATGCTAATAAAAAGCAAAGCAATTGGAGTAGCTGATTTGCAAAGCTGTGGTTGATTACAAATTCACTGCTGGTAAATATTTTATGTACAACTGAGTGTGTACATAAAATTTTATAGTAAATACATGCATAAAAAGGTTTATATAAACAAGCATAAGAACTTAATTGAAACGTAAAAAAATGCAGTGAAATTCATTTTTACTTGTACTTTGCAGTAACATTTTTTTCAATTGAAAAGTGATATTTATGAGTGTGGTATATATATACACACATTTTCCGACTTACCTGGAGTAATATATGTTGTTTTAGGTGTTGTTGACTTCGTGGCTAAAGAATTTAAAAGAAAAAGCTTGTAACTCATTTAAATTAGATGATATAAAAAATCACCACCTCTATTTAACTGATACTTCGAAGTTATATAATTTGTACCTTCTTTCACACAACCACATTGAGTTTGATTGAAAACGAAGCCAAAATCACATTGATACAGGACGTCACCGTGTCCCTCCACATACAAAAGGAAGTAATCCTCACCCATATCAGACACCTTCATCGAGCAGGGGGAGGCCGCTGGAGTAAAATAATGAATTATTGATCCATTTTATCTAAGCGTGCCAGTGAATAGTTTGAATATTTTGATTTCTATATGAATTTTAAAAAAAACGTTGAATCTCACTTGTTTGTCTTGGTCTTGGGGTGTTATTGGCACCATTTGACGTAGCATCTGCGAAAAATCAAGGAAAATAATCTGTACATATGATAAATATCAATTATGTTATAGTGATAAAGAACATACTGGCACAAAATGCTAGTGCATCATCTCTTGTTCTCTCTCCATAATTCAATATAATAAATAACGAAGAAATTGCAACACGAAAAGGTTGTAAAATTTGGTTGAAGGAGAATTCTTTTTACTCTCTTCTAGTAAGAAATTATATCAAGGTAACTATATCTGGAATTGACTTGAAGTAGAGATGGAATACAAGTAATAGATGTTAGTGATAATAAAACACTTCTTTCTTATGTTACACATAAAAACAGTTCAATTGTTTACACAATTCAAAATGTCCATCAGACAAGGATCTTTATACCTTTTCCTGTACATTTACAGAGTTCATTGTCAAAGCGTTGGCCTATAGGACAGTCGTAGGACACCCACTGGCTGATTTCGTCCACAAACTGTCGGTATGTTCCGTCCCCAGTAGATGAAAATGCACATCCTAGAGAAGGCGTAATGGAAATGAAGATGTAACTGGTAACTTAAAGATTTTTTTTTTCATCCAACCAGTATCTTTATACGTATACTTTATAATAACATCGTCAAATTACGGTTTTCATCCAATCACGTCTTCTACGTCATCAAAAGTATTAACATGTGAGGCGAATTACCATAAGAAGCATTATGAAAGAGGTGCTGAAGAAATTATGTTCCCTACGAATTTATAGTGTTCCAAGTTAAAACAAAATAGTTAGTACGTGTGTATTTGGTACTTAAAAAGAATGATAGGAATTTTTTCCCCTACACATTCCGATGTCAAGCTTGAATCCTCTCTCTATCTAGGCAAGGAACAATCATTTGATCCATTTTGAATCTTTATAAGTTAAGGATGATTTTATATTAGTATGACTAATTGTAGCCCTTTTGTGAAATTCCTTTAATTTGATCTTGGCAAGATTTTTTTTAATAAGATTTGTTCCACAGTATATGCCCATGCCAATTTTTAATTTTGCAAATGAAAATATATAATCATATTTTATTATTAACTTATGTCTTTTAAATATATTTCTTTCTTATCCGAGTTCCTTTATAGGTCACAGCATAATTATTCCACCTTGTACTTATAAAAAAAATCATGTGTTTCTGACTATGAAACACCCAGTCATATACCGTCTGTTGGAGAATATGTAGGTTTTTAAAGTTTTAAATTAAAAGAAGAAATATTAAAAACGCAAACGTAAAACTTTACCAGCTTTTTGACAGGAGCGTGTTCGAACATTAAACTCGGTGTGAATAGGACAATCATTTGATCAATTTTGAATCTATGCGGTAAGGATGATTTTATATTTAGTATAACTAATTGTAGTCCTTTTGTGAAATTCCTTTAATTTGTTCTTGGCAAGATTTTTTATGAGATTTGTTCCTTATATACATGTATGCCCATGTAAGCTCCTACTGTGGCGTTATCCAATGCCAGGGCACCATGATTTGAACAATTTGAATCTTGACTACTTTGTGATGTTAGTATATCAATAATCCTAATCATTGTTCTTCTCTTCTTAAAAAGACTTCGAAAGTTTTTTTTCTTCTAACCACGGAAACTATCACTTGAATTAACTAAAGGAAGCTTTCACTAAAGTAAAGGTTTCTTTTATGGGATTTTTTTTTTGGTTCTTGAGGAGTGTTTTTAAATGACTATCCCTTATTTTTTCTATTTAGTAATCATCTCTCCATGAAAAAGCGCAGTCCGTTATTTGAACAAACTCTAATCCCAGCGCTGAAGGATATTTTGTGTCAAGTTTGAAATTGATCCAGTGCTTTAGAATGGTGTGAAAAATGAACGACAGAGGGACAGCCGAGCGAAAATTTGATTAGAAAAATTCATAAGCTCAGGTGAGCTGAAACAATGTACTCTTCACGTGAATAGATTTCTCTAGTCTTTCATTCATACATTTGACGTATATAATTACGCACATTTGTTTATTGGTGTTTCCTTTTCATTCATAAAATATAAAAGTTCTTCTACCAAAATCAATAGGTTCAATGGATTTTACATCTTTGTACTTAAAATCAAATGTAGACATTTTATTTTCACAAAAGGAACAAATAAAATAAGCTAGTATATTTACAACTACTGAATGTCTATCGATAATTTAAACTCAATACATGATTTGTATTTCACATAAACGTTCAACTATGCTATGCGTTTATGAAGGAGTTGTGAGTGGTTCTTTCTTCACTTTATGCATGGTTATAGTTTGTCCCTAGGTAACAACGTCATTATTTTCTGCATCTAATTTAAAATCTTGGCCTTCAAAGTAGTTTCGATCAAAGAAGTATTTGTTTTTAACTTTCTTATTTTAAACGATACCTGGAGTTTAATGGGTGTACACTCCAGTTAACTCAATTAAAATGATAATGACGGATGCAGAAAATTTCAAAATTGCGATGAAAGGAAACCTCCATTTTTTGTTCTTGTGATACTAAGACAATAAAAATAACATAAAAACCAACTTTCTTGCTTTCATTTCATATAAAATCATGCGATTTTCGGGAGTCCTCCTCCTAAGGAGGAGGAGATTTAGTTCTAAAAGCTTATTCGAAGTCTTCGACTTCAAATTAGCCTACACTTGAAGAGAAAGGAATATACGCCACTGTCTATATTTGTAAATTTAATAAGCTTCGAATCCAATCGCTTAACAACGAAATACTCATTCATACATGTAAAAATAGAGGCATGTTTACTCACCTGTTTTACCACCATTTTTATTTGGACCTCTTCCTAAAAGACAGAATGCGAACAAGGAGTGATAGTAAATCTAACTATAATGTCTATCGAATGCATATTTTAGGCAATTTTTTGAAATCTGCAAAGGGTTAAAACAGAATTTGTATTATGTAAATAACATATTATGATATTTGAAATAATTTCTTCAAAACACTTTTTATTGAATCTTTTATAATTTCTTATGACATATGTACAATACGATGGCCTTACCAGTATATACACATGCGCAATCACTATCACTAAACACCTGCTCAACAGGACAATCATAGTAGACCCAGTCACCAAGTGAGGCCAAAAACTCCATATATCCGTTGTTTTTCTGAACTTTCAGGCAGTCTTTATGCATAATGACAAAACATAGACTTATTTTTTGAATGTGGAGGAAAAAATTATTCATGGGGGATCATAATACCACAGGCATTAGACGAATGATTGGTGTAATGGTTAATATATGAAAATACTAAAGATAAGAAACAAAATCTTGTAAACACGCAGGGGCCCCGCTTCGTGGGAGATTTTCAACATTAATACAGTATTACCAATGAAATTTATGCAAGAGGCAGTTCAGGGAGATGAACTGGGGATTATTTACCAGACTTCCTTCCTTAATCTTAACAAGAGGTCATCAAGTACTTCTTTCTTTAGCGTAATTAATGAAAGATCCAAAGATAGCTAAACGGAACTCCTTGGATGTTTTCCACAACCAAAAATCAAAACCCCCGTTTGCTTGTCAGCGAAAGGAAATTGGGTAAGTAAACGTGCATTTAGGGCAAATAAATCACTTTGATCGGGTGTTACTATAAGAGGTTTGTAAAACAGCATCTCCCTGAACAGCCTTTTGCATAAATTTCATTGGTTTCATTGAAAATCTTTCTCGGAGTGGGGGCACCATGTGTGTTTACGAGATTTCGTTTCTTACCCTTAGTATTTTTAAATACTGTAAAGCGGCAATCTCTAAAACAAAAACGGAAAATGATATATCGAAGTATTGGTATGATAGACTAGGAATTCGTGTATATTTTCTAAGTTGTGTGTCTAAAAAAATTCTCAGTAGGAGGGGAGGGGGGATACACCAACCAGTCAGGTGTCTGTGCATAATACATACGCATTGAAGACATTTGATATATACATAACAGCGTGCTTTTAATATAACAATAATATTCATCATACTCCTTTACAACAATTAAAATTCTTGAATTTGCAACATTGTAATGTGCAATGCTTAAAATCTAGTGAAACCCTATCCATTACAAAATCAGCTTTCCGACAGTATATACACTGATTTTCTTATATCATAACTTACCAGAAGTGTTGTTTCCAGAGTCCCCCGGATGTTTACCTATTACACAAAAAAGTTAATTTGTTGTATACCCTTAAAGAAAGATTTTATTGAATGAACAGATTACCTCGGAAAGAGGAAATTGAAGATTTGTTTATTACAGGTTTTAAAAATTTCTTTATCATACCATTGTGATGATCTGGTAGCGTCGGTTTAAGTGTTGTCAAACGCTTTATTGAACCTGTAAATATGCCATTCAACAAAGATTATCTGAGGTGTACAAGCAACAATGTTCCGAAAACTAAAAAGCAGGTCAACCACAAATCCCACCCCTAGCTTCGCACCTTGATGATTATTTGTCAAAAATTCTACTTATAAAAGAAAAAATAAAAAGTTGACCATATGAACCCACTTTCTTTATCACATTTGCAGCTGTCTTTCTGGAAAGAAGTCCCCACGGGGCAGTCGTAGAAAATCCACGTCCCCAACAGATCCACGAACTCTTTGTATCCTGTCTGGTCTTGTACGTACTTACATCCTGAATTTAAATTCACAGTAAATTTATCTTTTTTACATTTCTCTTCATATTTCCATATCATTTGAACCAATGTTAAAGCAAGATTAGCAAACTACATGTATAAAAAAAATTTCACAGAGAAGAGAACAATTTCGCAAAATTACATTTTATTTTGCATGTAGTCGGTAAGGGATACTTAATTTAAAGGTGCTTAGACACAGATTTGAACTTATATATTTTTTTCAAATTTTCTGTATAATATCACGACTTATATATTGCAGTAGCATTTCACACGAAAATATAATTAAAAACTTATTTTATCTGGAAATTATTGGAACTACGAATTCCGGGACGCGTTTGATTAACACATCTTTGCACTTACACAAATTTTAACTTTATCCTTAATATTTTAGAAAAGAAGCGATTTTGTTATGTATTAATGAAAAATATTACATCTATAATCCAAAAAATTCAGAGTAGAAATGTTCGAAAGCAAAACCAACTCACCAGTATTGTCAGTCCGTGCTCTGTGATGTGTACAGAGTTTCACAAATTGAACACACCCGTGAAACGTAAACTGTTTTTGTAAACAGGGCACGAGCTCTGTTATTGTTTAATGTTTACAATTCACCGGGTGTGTTCAATTGTTAAACTCTGCACACACCACTGAGCACGGACTTACAATACTGTGAGTGGGTTTTGTTTTCGAACATTTCTACTCTGAATTTTCTGGGTTATAGTTTTAATATTTTTCATTAATACACAACAAAATTGCCACTTTTCTTAAGTATTAAGAATAAAATTAAAAATATGTGAAAGCGCAAGGATGTGTCAATCCAACGCGTCCAGAAATTCGAAGTTTTGATAACTTCGAGAGGAAATAAGATTTTTTAATTATTTTTTAGTATGAAATGCTATAGCAACATATAAGTCATGAAATTATACAGAAAATTTGAGAAAATATTAACTTCAAATCTGTGTCCAAGCACCTTTAAAACTGTAGACCAACACTCAACTTGAATACTAAACTCTCAACTCTCAAAGTTATCATATGCCAAATTCGGTTCCCATATCTGAATAAGTTCGCAAGACTTGTTGGTAAAATAAGTAGCATTTCAAATCAGAGTCCCCTTATATGTAACAATATAATTATTCCATCTTGTAAAACAATACGTGACTAAGAAACACCCAGTCATATATATACCGTCTGTATATGTAGGTTTAAGAAGAAATATTAAAAGGTAAATGAAAGACTTTACCAGCTTTTTGACAGGAGCATGTTCGAACATTAAACTCGGTGTGAATAGGACAATCATAGTCCACCCAGCTGCCCACGGCCTGAATGTATCGCCTGTATCCACCAATCTTAGCTACAGCCGGGCAATCTGTGATTATTATATACGTCAGAAATGCTCAACATATCAAACTGAAATTTCGAATTTGTTCTGTTAAATATTCCTTATGTCTATAACTTAGAAATAGTCATCATGAAGATGCTGAATATTGTGACAAAATGAGATATTTCGCAAAAGATTTCAAACCTGCCGTGGTCACCCTAGATAAGGCTTCCGTTGATACTGGTAATGGTGTAGTTGTCACTGTTTGTACCACGTGGTCAGGGATATGAATGGCTGTTCCTCCACCTCCTGTTTAAAGTGATGGTCATGTAAATGTAAAATATTTTATATGAGTTTTTAAAGAATTATGGATGCAAGCACTATAAAGATTAGAAAATGTATCTTTCATAAATAAACGAATATTACGTTTGCAAAAATAGAAGCTTAATTTGTCTTTTAAACTAATGAGATACATTAAGCAGTTAAATATTCAGATAAAATACCTTCATTGACACATTTACATAAAGATGGGCTATAAATGTGGCTCTTTGGACAGTCTGATATCACCCAGTCTTTGATTTCCTCAATAAAGGTTCTGAAGGACGTTAAACCAACAGCCTCGTGTTTGCAGTCTAAAACATCAAAATTGTTCATATAGATTCACGTTTGATTAAGTTTGTATAAGGAAAGGGGCAGATCTCTTTAATGATGAAAAATTTCCTCGCGATTTTGAATAATGCATAATAACTTAAATAATTATGAAGTCTACTGTTGCAACAGGGGATAAAATTCTATATCTAAAATATTGAGTCTTCTCTCTTTATCTAATGTACATGTATAACAAAGAAATAGTCTTTTAAGGGTCAAAGACTAAAACTGCATATTAAAATCTTTCTTTTTCTAAATTATATTAATTTAAATATTAAGTATTAATCAACAATTGACAGGATTCTCGTAAAAAATCGCACCTTGCTGGACACATTTACATAAGCTGGGACTGTACGAGAAGCCATTCGGACAGTCGGACGTTACCCACTCCCCCAATATGTCTATGTATTCTTTGAAGGAGGATTTATCAACCGCTATAAACGGACATCCTGAAATCATTAAAATATAACAGAATATCCTGGTAATATAAAATAATATATAGAGAATTTTCCTCTTTATTTTGTTCAAAATATCATTTACATGTATATTCAATATAAATTACAGTATTTCACTTTTGAAAAGATAATTTTTGATCATGCATTAGTATATACTAAATTTGTGTGAGATAATTAGTTGTAAATCGATTTTTAAATGGGTGAATTGATGATTATACTCTTTACCATTAATAACAATAGTTTCAGGTTCACATCTACAAGCAGCTTGTTTGAACACGTGCTCTGGAGCGCAGTCTGAATACACCCACGACTGGATGTTTGCCACGTATTCTCGAAAAGAAGATTTTCCAACAGCAATGTATGGACATCCTATTAATTGTTATTGAATCAAATTTTACCAAATAACTAAATTTTAGATAGATATCATTTACTCAGTATTTGAGATTGTGTTTTATAATAAAAGTCCTTTCTTAAGCATAAAAGATTATGTACATCAACTGTCAAATTATTGCCAGATAACATATATAAAATGTTTCAATAAAAACTTTCTTTAAGAAGCATATGTTTTTTTAATCTATATCCAACAAACCGGGCGGTACTTCTTCTGTGGATGTCAACACTGTCAATAAAAACAAAAGGAAATAATACAAGCACCTGATGATACTTATTTTTCTTTAAATAAAAAAATATACCCCCTACCTAATAATATCATTTGGTAGGGGGTATATTATTTAAAGAAAAATAAGTAACTTCAAGTGGCTGTGGGAAATAATAAAACAACATTCTTATTCAAATAAAGCAGGGTTACTTGAAGACGAAAAGAAAAGTACCAGGTGCTGTTGAAATGGGAGATGCTGTTGTCTTGACGAAAGTATCGTGGTCTCCGTCCGGAGAAGTTCCTGGAGGAAACCGATTCGTATACTATAGTACATCAAACTTCAAAGTAAAACTAATTCGGGCTGATATTATGTTTGCTCATTAAAAATGTTATTCTTCTTTTTCATATGTTTTTGCATTTGTTTCCGAAAGATTTTACATAATTTTGTAAACTGTTGAAACAATAAAAAATATTTTCAAAAAACGATGGTAATTCTGCATCATAAAGGGTTCATTGCATAGGAAAAAGGTTTAGTACCCTCTAAAACACATCCGCATTTTAGCTGACTGAATTCATAACTTTCACCACATTCGGAAAACACCCATGTTTTTAATACATCTATGAATTCCCGAAATGCCTTTTTCCCCTCTTTCACATACGGACATCCTGAAAATGTTATTAGAAAGATATTTGATATTTAAGTACATAAGTAATTCTTTTTTGTAAGTTTTATTAAGGGTGTTGTTGATTCAAATTCCAAAATGCTTGAATGAGTTAGAAACAATGAAAGCTGTACCTTTAGGAATGCCTATCGTCGTGATATATTCTGTTGTTGTTGCTGTTGTGCTTATTTCTAAGAAAAGAAGTTGATAGAAAACAACAGGAAAATAACTAATTTTGATTCAACGTGCAGAAACAATATTGTGCCAAATGTTTAGGGAATCGCTGTTTAGTTTGTTTGGTATGCCAGGGCATCAACGACAGTTGGGAACAAAGCCCGTTAGGCATAAATTATCCCACGTTTCCATTTGTCGTTGATGTCACTGGCATACCCAACAAACTAGACAGGGGTTCGTAATATTTATATGTGAAATAAAATATAAATAAAAATTTAAAATGCTTCGCCCCTTATGCAGATTGTCCCACTTTTCCAACTATCATTGATGCCCTGGTATACCCAACAAACTAAACAGAGGTTCCTTAAACATTTGGCACAGCGATTTCTAAAATATGTTACACATAAAAAGAGTTTTATCTTCATACCAGTACAAATTATATTTTTGGAATTCATATTTCTTATGCTTTCATTATGACATGGGTGAAAAACATGCTCAGTTCATACCAGCAAGGATTTGAACCCATTTACGAAGAAAAACACCCGCAATACACGACCAACTTGCTTAATCGCTTGACCATTCTCTACTCAACTGAATACCAAGGCATGGAAGTACCGTTCTTGCATATCGGAGGTGTAATAAAAATTGTTTTTAACTTTTTTTTTTGAAGATATGCCTATTTGAAACAAAAATTGAAAAATGGCTGTTTTGAAGAGAATTCCTTGATCTTAATGTTCATACAAATTTAATTCTGCTACGATGAGTTTTTTTCTTTTCTTTTTTTTTCCAGAGCAATGCATGGAGATTCACTATAGAAAAAGAACAAAACCTGTTAAATTCTGCTATGTGCTTAATTAAATTCCATTTCATCATATAATAAAAATCGGTATAAATTTACCAAAATGGACATCTTTTTCTTTTACTTTAAAAGTGTTCGTATTATATTCTACAGCTTGAGGGGAAATAACAAAAGACTTGAATTTATGCAATTGGACACATACCCATCATTAACCGAGGGTAAAAGTTCAATCTCGATAAAACAATAGTTAAAAGTTACCCATTGGATTAAAGCAGCCACATCTTTCCAGACTGAACTGTTGGTGATGGGGGCACTGGAAACGAATCCAACCTATGTCAGCATTTATGTATCCCATGTACGAAAACTTGTCGTCTGCAATCTCCTGGTACTTACAAGGACTCACTATTTTCGTGAAAATGAAAGAGAAAATGGCTAAATTAATCGATGTTTTCATTTTTCATTAGTTTAAAAAAACGTGTTTTAACTATCGAAAGTCTTATATATTCTGTTTTTTTTATAGTAAATAACTTTGAATCATTCATTGTTAAGTTTGATGATGTAGTTGTGGCTATATCTAGAAATTTATCGTGGCCTTTGGGCATAAACGGTTTAATAGACCATTCTGAATTGAGAGTGGACATAACTTTGTTGACGCATTAAGCAAACATCCACTTCAATAGACCTGTGTTCTTATCAGTTTAGAATAATTATCAATCTCACACCCACCTACCTCCAGATGGAACTAAAGGGGATGTATTAAAACTTAACTGAAACTTCTGACATTTTACTTATACAGAAAATTAGTCGACCGATTGATATAAATGCTATATTCATATATTTAAAGGTTGTTTCACCGAATAACTTCTTTCTACTTGAAATGCTTGTCAATGTGTATGTTGGATAAAGGCAACTTTTACAAACACACAGAAAGATGTGTTATTTCTTTGTACTATATACTAGAATATACTTGTTGGAGATAATTTTGTTGAAGGCGACGTCGTCGTTGTTTTCATCACTGTCGTTGGATTTGTTGTTTCTCGTTTGCCGAGAGTAGATGCTTTGGTCGATAACAAAGAGACAGTCTGTGTCACGTTCGTTGTTACTGATGTATTTGTTGTAGAAGTTAGATTATGGTCATGTGGTGTCGTTTGATTTTTATGGATATTCGAATGTTCTTCAGAAATTGAAGACGACGTCGAAACTAATGGAGCCAGTGTAGTATTGTGAGCCATTGAAGAATTATCCATTTTGTTGTCTTCCGTAGCAGACGGTGTGGACTCTTTGGTCGCTGTTGTCGATTCCAATGTATGGTTGTCATGCTTGTGTTTGTTGATAGTTGTATAGCTCCAGCTACTCGTCGATAACACTGTTGTAGTGGAAACTTTGCTTTCATTATCAAAGTCAGTAGATTCTGTCACTATTGGTTTTACTGATGTCAATGGTACGTGAGAATCTGATGTTGTCTCTGGTTTGGAAGAAGATGATAACATTTCGTTCTTATCGGTGGTACGTTTATCTGATGTTGATGAAGTCTTTGGAGATGTTGTTGTTGTTGTTATTGATGTTGTTCTTACACTTGTTTTCCTTTGTGTTGTTGATCGATCTGTTGTTGAGCTAACTTCATTGGGTGTGGTAGGCGGATGAGGTTGTGATGTTGTTTGTTTTGTTGTTGTAACTGACACTATGTCTTTATTTGCTTTTGTTAGAATCTCTATTTAAAGGAAGAAAGGTACATGTATTACTTTACAATAATATAACAGGACGTGGGGAAATATGGCTAATTCTACCAATTTCAATATTTGCCTGTTAAATATCTCCAAGGCGTACCTTCCATTTCAGGATAATCACACCTGCACCATCTCGCTATGAATACAGTTTTAGGGGGGCACGGCATTTCTAGCCATTTCCCCCAGGGAGTCAATCGTCGGTAATACGTGGGTCCCCTCTCCAGTGAAGGCTCTAAATCACAGGTCACTACAACATACATTTAAGGTCAAAAGTGTATGCATCCAAAATTCTGTGTAACATTTCAGATTCAGTAATAGCTTTATAATGTATTTAATGGACAAACCTATAGATTCTTCGCCGTGAACGACACTGCTGTACACTAGAAATAGAGAAGAATCGAAGACAATAAATGTTGTATGAATTTCTGTCATCTGAAGGTAAATTAACTCGAGTAATAGATGTAGATAGAATCTATTTATTGATAAAACGCCAAAAATGATAATAAAATTTTAAAATTAAATAACAGGGTATTGACACATAGGCTTTTGTTTGAAATGTGTGAATTTTTTATATTTATGGAAACTGTTATAAACAGGGAAACGTTTTCTTAGAATGATATTGAATTTTTCTTTTAATTTTGTTCTGGTTCATAACTGGCTTTTTAATTGACTTTATTGATTGCAATGCAATAGAGTTATCACAAACCATTGTTAGGATTTTAAATCTTACATGTTTGTTGTCTATTTAGTCTCTGATATAGATATAGTTTATACTTACATTTCATTTGTACAATCAGTCCTAGAACAGTGACATATGTTGCTGTTAAAACCATCTCATGAATACCTATGTAAGAGTTAAAAATATGTTTACTTAATTTATAACATACTAAGCTCCCCTCTCCTTTTTGACTTTTTTTCTCAATATTTATTGAAAAATTAAAAAGAAAAAACACATCCGAAAGACGGTTCATATTTTCTTATTGTTAAAACCATTTTTTTTTTTAAGATGACGTAAAATTGAAAAAAAAAAAAGTTCGTTTTTGAAAAAGTAAAATCACAAAAAGTAATTGGTACTTTTAGAATTCTTTTTTTATATAAATAAATACATAAGGTCACCTGAAAGAGGTTGAATTATTATCAAACTGTACATCAAACTATATATGATACTAAAGTAGGAAAAAACAAATTATACTTACATGTATAAAACATGAAATATAACACCGAAAAAATAAAAATGTGTTGTTGGCAACAGTTCCTTGCATTTGCACTTCTTACACACTGCTCATTTGCATATCATTAACAAAGTTTAAACAAAATAAAACCCTTACAAGTTTATTGTTAGTTTTCCATGATGGCCATATGTAACGAAACGTCCGAAAGCCAAGATTTCTTGCGATAAAGAAGGCCAACGGCAATAAGATACCTATCTATTGAAATACTTCAGGTCTGTTTCACTAAGTTAACTTATTGGTGGTATTTTTTTTTTCCAATTCTAAGGTAATTCTCTGTTGATAGACCAGAAATTACTAGATTTGTATTTGATGTCAAGGGATCTAAATTAGTCATTATTTCCAAATATTCAGATAATATTCTACAAAACTTCACTATTTAGTAAATAATTTATTACTTTTTTGTACCAGAGACACATGTATTATAAAAAAACCGATATTCTATTGTCAAAATACAGAGCACCCAAGACTACACTAGTAACTTTTACAATACAGTCTGTTTTTAATTAAGTCCTGTGGATTAAGCACTTTTTTTGTTCATCCATTCCGTCAGCAATTTCACTTTCTTTGTATACATTAACAAATTGCTATTCCGACTCGTTTTACAGTATCCCGTGTCCTCACCAGCAAACAATTAATAAATTATATGTCAGTAAAAACAAATATCGATTTCATTAATCATACATTTAATTTATTGATTGAATGACAGGAACGATATTGAAATCATTAAGTAGATAAAGGAACTTCTTGTGATATGAGAAAGCGGTTCCCTCATATTTTATCGAATCATCGAAGGTCCTCTAGATTTAAAAAAAAAAATCTCCATGAACCAATCAACTAAGCGACTTATGTTCGACGATTGTTAAACAGCGATAATCACACTTTTGAGAGCCTTTTTCTCTTTGCATTCTACTTTGCTATTTCCCTCATTTAGACTGATCATTTTGTTTAAATATTCCAATAAACTAAATATTTACATAGCGGCTATGTCTAATGTTCTTTTTTAACATGCATAATGCATCGGCGTTTTAGTCAGATATCACTAATTACCAAAGTTGGAATAAGAAACGTTTACAGCTCATATGCATGATACGGTGTATATGTGGAGGTTATTTTTTTCCCTTTTTTAAAATTATTAAACATATTTTGTGTTTCTAGAATCACAATATCATAGAATTAAATCTTTGAAAAAAAGCAGGTACTGGAGTCAATTGATTACATTTTTTATTGAAAAATTAAAACAAAGGAAATTAAATATTCGGAATAACAAATCCATTACAGGAACAATGGAATTTTAAAAGCATATAAAATGATTAAGAAAAAATTCGATACATCATCAAATCTCACATTGTATTGATTTTTACTGTGTAATCTTTCAACATTTCGCCTGAGGCCGTGGCAGTAGACATAAAGGCAATATATTCCACTAAAAACTTAATCGTGGCCACAGGTATTTCCATCACATTCTTTTTGTCATACAAGGACAAACTAAAACCATTTTGCATTTGGTTTAAAGTCTATTAACTTATACGCAGTTCGGCATGACAATTCTAATTCGTAAACGTATGACAATTCCTCATCCGTAAATGTATGACAATTCCTCATCCGTAATTAAATGTATGACAATTCCTCATCCGTAATTAAATGTATGACAAATGTACATGACAATTCTAATCCGTAAATGTATAACAATTCTTTAGGTAAATGAATCCAGTCATAAATATACAATTTAAATATTTAGACGGATTCTATAAAGGAAGTATGTCTTCTTTTTTTTTTAATCCACGTGAGGCGAATCAGCGAAGACGTCCCGAATCGTTCTTCCACTTCCCTCGTCCGTCACTTCCACTATTAGTTCGTGGTACGTGAGCGCCATCTTGACAGATATGGGTGCTCTTTCGTCTCTTGTTGACACTAAAGTGATTTTCATTTTCCCTAGATAATGACACGTCCCTTCAGTTGTGAACAAAGCTTCTCTGACCGTAGACAAATACACTGGAATACATAGAAATCTCTGGTCTTTCCTGTTGATGTACAACTGTGTCCGGCTTTCGAATTGTCCTATCTGAACTTCTTGGTACTGTGATATATGGGTTTTGAAAACATCACTACACAGAACCACCCCATTAGATTCAAATTTCTTTTCCTCCAGATGGTCACCTTTTTTGAAAGGCATCGCCATTCCGATTCCGTAAGTGTACTTTGCTTTCATATAAATTACCGGATGGTTATCATATCCATACAACACACCTCCCTTCATCACAGCTAGATCGGGATCAGGGGGCATTAAGATCGTCAAATCGGGAAACTTCATACGAATAGCGTTTTGCACAAGAGGGGACAAAGCAAAGCCGCCCACCATAACCACAGTTTTGCAGCCTTTGCCGTCCTTTGTATATAACACTTTAAGCAAAGCACTAGAAATATTTTCTAGAGCAGCAGCATAAAATCCTTTAAAAACATCTGGATCCATGCTTAAACTATCACCATTTAGCTTCACTAAGTATCCGTACTCCGATTGTTCAATCTTCAGTTGAAGTGCCTGCTTCATGTTCACTTCGAAAATCCTCCTTAATACTGAAGGTAATTTGAATACTATCGGTTCTGTAGATTTGGGATCAAACGTTCGTTTCTTGATTTCAAACTCTTTGTGAAGTTGGGACAGATCAGCCTTAAAGCTTCCGGCAAATTTTTCCATCACTTCTTCATTTACCACCTGCATTAGGAAGTTAATAAAAGCTGCATCCACTTTGATTCCACCGTTTAGATTCCCACAGTTGTTTACAAGTTCGATCAAATTAGTGTCGTTTGTCAACTGAAGTATAGTCGAGTCAATGCTTCCACCTAAGTAAAACAAATACGCTATAAGATTCCTGAATTGGAAGCAAAGGTTTAAGATTAAAGTTTTTTCCTATCTGGGGATTTGTATTATGTTCTATATACAAGATTATATCCCCGGTCATCGGAATATTCCTTGAATCTAGATTAATGTCTTTCATGTATTGATGAACAACGTTTTGTATATTAATCATCAATTTTACCGGTGTGACTTTTCGTCAAATTCAAGATACATTTTAAAGCAAGGATTTTCAAATCAAGGCTTGAAATGTTTTTCTTAAATATATGTATATTGAAAATGAGATGTTGAATTTATTTCTGCTCATAATTGTGTGTGTGTGTGTGTGAGGGTGGGTGTGTGTGTGTGTGTGTTTTGCTTTTGTTGTTGTTGTTGTTGTGTTGTTTTTTGTTGTTGTTGTTGTTTTTTAATGTATTCAGTACTTTGAACTTATTTACTTCTAAATTCCATGACCTTGGTTATCATAATGGTTTTTGATCTTGATTATAGGACACGTCACAAGGGTTAAAAAGAAATGACCAAGGGCATGGTTAGGACGACGACATCCATTATTGGACATAAAAATGTTTATTTCCATTAAAAAAAAATAATTTAAGTGTAGCATTCATATTGTTCTTACTACAAATTGAACTGTGTTTTTGGTGAAACTAGGTAAATTCTCACCGCCTAAGTCTAGCATTAGGTACTTCATGCCCAGGGTCTGCAGACAGATCATTTCTCCGTTCCGCGTGTTGATTCTATGTAGCGGTGAAACTTGGCAATAAAACGATGCAGCCTCTGCTTCAGACACTAACGTAGCATTGTTAATGCCAACCTGAATAGAAATCTTCAAATGAGATAGGTGTCTAGTGTGACATTCGAAATTGATGAAGAAAGCTTTTATGAGACAGTGATTGCAAATTGTTTTAGGGATCAACGTCTTGTTTGTCTGAGTTTCGCATTCTTGAAAACACCTTGATCTACACTAGGACATAACTACTGGTAAAATATTATGTTTGATCTAGGTACATACTTTTAAAAAAATTATTAGAGCAAACATACCTGTTTGGCAGCCATTGTGATTATTTGCTTCGTTTGCTCGTCCCAGTTTACAGGATGAGTAAAGACCCATTGAAAAGAAAAGTTATCCAAGATCCAATTTGGATCCACACCTTTCATAGTACCGGCTAGAGCGTCCACTAGATGGTTTCTCAAGTATTTAATTGCAGCACAAAACACAGCTACTGCACGGAGAGGTTTCCCAGTGTCGTCAATAATGCTGGTGCCAATGTTACATGTAGAATTCTGGGGGGAAAGTAATTTGTACTTAAGAGTGGCTTAAAACGTCTTGAAAAGAGATTAGAGAACAAAAAGCTGGATGTCTAATACTACAAAATTAATTCAAGACCAGAAAGAAATAATGAAGTTCCGACATTTTGTTATACATGTATTGAATTTTTGTCAACACGTATTTCAGACGTCTCCTTTTTTAAAACAAGAAAGCTCTTCTCCCAGAAAGATTAGGCTAGTAATTTTCTTTTGAGATAAGTTCATCACAATAAAATTTTGACTCTAATACATCAAACAAAATTATCTGCATGCAATTTTAATCACTATATGTTTCCAAGGAGACGTTTGTTCAGAATTAATCATATTGTTTAAAGCTAAGACAATTTGCAATATAATCACGTATTTGCTGCATTAAATACGACACTTATTGATAAACCTTTAGTTAAAATATTCTGGAAACTCCGAAGCGAGATATCCATCATCATTGAATTGCACGTACAATTTACCATTTGTTGAGGCTAAATGCATTGCGTTTGGTTTGTTTAAATATTTACAATGTATTGTGTCACTGAGGAGACACAAGTCCGTTAATCTGACTTTAAGCAAGTACACAATAGCAAATTTTCCTCACATTCATTTTTTTTTTTTTTTTTTTTTTTTTTTTTTTTTGGAAACTTTGAGTTTTGTTCTGGGATACAAAATCTCTCTTTATATATAATATGAAGGAAATTTAATCGCATATTTTTTGCCCACATAGTTTCGAATTTGGCCTCTCGGACCCCCGTAAGAAAATTCTGAAATCAGACATTTGACTTGACTTTGTGCATTATTTAAAAATTACCAATCGATCTATTGCAAATTTGTGTAATGCTTTTTATAAATACAACGTAACTATCACTAAATTTCAGTAAATTATATTGATACCGGTATATTTGTAAGAAGTGATGAAAAAATAAAACTTGCATAGTCCAGGAATTGAAAATCTACATGTAAGTATGCTACATCTGAATTTCTCTTAAGAGAAAAATCAACAGAATGATTGAATATCGGAACCCAGATTAAAATGTGTCAAAATGAGGAAAATTGAACTGACAGTTTCGGATATTTTGGCTATTAAAAAATATCCAATGCATAAAATTAAAAGAATCACAAGATGATGTCATAATATTTGACCTTTGACCTCTTAATATGACCTTGACCTTTATCATTTATAAAGGATGGAGACTCTTTATAAGCATGTCCAAATATCAGGTCTCTACTGTAAATGGATCTAATGTTACTTTGCATTCAATAACAGATTGTCGTATCGCACATATAGATGGCATAAACACATTCTAAAATGTAGGCTCCCGAATGACCAATACATAAGTTATCTCTTATTGTTCACAAAATATGGCAAAAACATATCACAGCTTATTATTTTTCTTACAAAGATCATCGATTATTGACATTATAGTGATATTCTTTCTTTTTCCTAGTGAACTTAATAAGAAATGAGTTCAAACAGATTTCAAGGGTGTTTTGTACTACCTTAAATTTCGTTTTATCGCATTGTCTTTTCATCAATTGTCAAACTGTTTTGTAAATTTTACACTTTGCCAAAAGAAAATTTCTACCATTTTATAAGTATCTCTTAGCAAGCAAGTATAGTTGAAATCAAGCAACATGTATATCTTGTACAAACCAGATGCAATGCATCTAGCCTCAGAAAACCCTAGTCAAGAGCTAGCCTCAGAAAACCCTAGTCAAGAGAAGTTTATTGGACTTTTTTTTTCTGAAAACATTCTCTCGTCTTTATTATTTTTGTTCTTAAAAAAAGACTGGAAATGATCCTAAATTACACCTGGAAATATGTTATTCACTAAATACTAAATAAATTAATGATTTTTTTCTATATAAAAGAGAATTTAAGAGATGTCAAATTCTATCTGGAAATGTGTTGCTCTCTACACTAGTTTACGAAGATGTTATCTTTGTCAAATTTTACTTGTACGACTCGTACACCGTAGGTTGCTCTCTATACTAATTTAATGGAATTTTAATCTTATAAAAAGAAGATTTAAATATGTCAAAGTTTAAAGTACCTCAGTTTGCATCATTGTCATCTTGAACTTTCTGAAATAATACCATCCAAGGTGGTTTTTGTCTGCAGCTAATTGTCCGTATTTCCATTCTGCCTCGTAACCAAAGGAATGGAACCTCTTCTCAGGGGTCAACAGAACCGTGCTCGGAACTTTCAGTGTTGTTAGTTTGGCGTTTCCGGAGATCCAGTCTTTGTTCACGTGAACAGCGAGTCGGTCCTCTTCAAGATCTTTTCTTAATGCAAACGCATATCCAGAGTATGTTGTACCAATATCGATACACGCTATGATGTCAGGCTCTGAATTCTCGTGGTTCAAAGGTTGTAAACCATTTTGATGTTGTTGGTATCTGTAAAAATACGTATTTTGTCACACAACTTTTGAAAATGAAAACAGCAACATTTTTCATTTGATTGTAATTTTAATGTACGGGTACTTACCCTGATTCAATACGCCTGTTCCTTGATCGTCTGCTTTTTATTTCCTGACGTAATCGCAAACTAGACATTTTTCAGTTTTCTGTAACATATATACAGAGAGAAAATGCGGACATTCTTGTCTTGCAACATCACTCAATCAAGTCTCATTTCGAAATGATAGATGAAGTTTTAATTCCTGCGTATTTGGAAGGACTCGGATGATTCTTCTTTATCCAGACACCTTGTTCAAAGGAAATTATGATTTATTGTCTCTCTCCAGCTTCTGAAATTTTGTTTTTACCTTTCCTCGCAATCAATAAAATACATCATAAAATCTCAATCAAATATCTGGGAGATCAATTGCTCTCACAACAAAACTAATAACTAAAGCCCCGTCTGTAATCAATAGTGTCTCAACAATCCCGTCCAAGCTTTTTTTTCTTCCTTGAGCTGTTGCCCTTACATCGTCCGAAACTGGGATGGAATGTTTTAATTGTCGCTGGTGACTAAAATCACGTTGGTAGAATGATCGATCAATAGCTGTACAGAACATCTCTTATCACCATATTTATGCCCGTTTCCATAGATGACTCGTAACAGCGCAGTGCAATAGTATCAATCTACATAGATTATATCCGATGAAGTGTGTCTGCCATGCTTAATAGGTTCAAATATCCTTCCACTTGACTTTAGAGTCTATTAAAATCATACGTGATATTCTCCTTGACATAGCTTCTTCATTTGATTGTCTTTAACTGGGTCATTGTCCCATTAAACATATGTTCCTGGTACATAAATTATATCAATATTTTATGAATTTTTAAAGCTACAAAGGTAAATCGTTACTTTTGAAGTGCTCATGCTCTTAAAATATTAGCACAAGTAAAGTAAATTTCCAAAAATGATATTTTAAATGAAGAAATTTTAAAAAATGAAATGAAAAAAAAGAAAAAAAAAAAAAGAAAGAGTCTCGGGGCATAATATAAAGACTTTTTTTCAAATAAAATTCTAGATGGATATATTGACCGTTTATTGATTGCAGCATTCAAGGTTAAAATATTCAAACAAAATTTTTGAGATCTTTTTGCACTGTTGCAACGACTTTTGGAATAACGACCGCTATTAAATTTATTTCAATAGTGATTGAAAATGCATTTCAAACCCAACACCACGTTGGAACCACTATTGAAGCAAGATCCTGTTAGGTTTGAAATGCATTTTCAACTTCTATGGAAATCATTATTTCAGTAGTGGACGTTATTTTAATAGTTTTAAAAATGAAAATAAAAAAAATCACTTATTTCAATAGTGGTTGTAACACTGCACCAAGACATGAGCCAAGACATTTTAGACCATAGGCAGCAATATACTAAGAATGAAATATGGAGATAACGAACAGAGATTATCAAAATACCAATTAAAAATTACATATTATGATCAGAGCCAACACGGACCTCTAAAAACAGAGGTGGAAATAGGTGCTATTGAGGAGAAAGCATGATCTGTTGACCGACCAATCACACCCACTGTTTGCTCCTTGCCATGATCGGGTAAACAGAAAAATTCGTAGCAATTTGTATGAAAACACCAGTCAACATTCGACTTAACGACATATTTTATATGCAAAAAGGTCATTGTATCAATCGTAGAATTTGTCTTTAAACGAGATTGTTGATATCTTTGTATTATCAATTATTTGTCAATAACCTGCCTCGTTTTAGAAATTGTTCGTAGGTAAATCAATCGAATCAACTGGGAGACATAAATTGCATATACAGGTGAAAATACTGCTTCATAAGTAAGGCCAACTTTAGAAAATGTTTGTTTGTCCTCTCCCGTCCAACTGACTAAAAACGGCCCGACTCAGATAATTGTATCTCCAAGAATAATTTTATCTCCACCAAACAATCCCAAATCATGTGCTATCCGGGCAAAATTTGTGATATCCCAATCCCGGTGATCTTAACAATTACAAAACTTTGATACTCTTGAGCGTTTACCTATGAGGTACTAGTATTTGGGATTATTTTCATTGAATAGGCTTACCAGTAATAGTGGTTTTTGAGTCAGATTTTAAGTTACGACTCCATAATTTCAAAAGTACATGTACACAATTCCGAAGGTACATGTACACCCAGAACAAATAACTGACCTCCCCCCCCCCCCCCCGAAAAAAAAAACATTGTAAAATTAGTTTTTCCCTTAATAATCCTTATTATTTTTACCTTCATTTAAAAAAACAAAGAAGATGGGTGAACATGACGAGCGAAAAGCCTATAGTGTGACAAACATGAAGGTGAAAAATTAAATCTCAATTATATCGAAATTTTCCTTGATATTTCATATAACATTAAAATATACTTTATGTAAAATCTCTTCAATTTGCAAAAATCGCACGAAGATTGAAATTATTTTAGGATTGACTCTAATTCTTGGCCAAATTATTCGAGTATAATCTGGTTTGGGTCAGTTTACGCTTTATAATCCGCGAAGCGGATTATAAAACAGCGTAAACTGACCCAAACCAGGTTATACTCGAATAATTTGGCCAAGAATTAGAGTCAATCCTTATAATTTAATTTTAAAATCATTAAATAACTATGGGTGTAAAATTTCGTTGTTTTTATTAGTTCAAATTTGCCGCTCAATAATACAACCGTAGTAACGGAAGTAACGGAAGTGATGGGAAGCGAGGGGAGGTAATAACTGATACATAGGCCTAGCAGCCTTGTTGTTTTGTTTACATATGGTAAGTTCGAATTATTTTTTGAAGTTAAAGGTACATTTATTAAATCTGGAATTTTCCATGAATCCCTAGGACTGGAAATGAGAGGATTGTATGGCTACAGATGATTCAGCTAGTTGTCGGGGGGGGGGGGGGGGTGTCCCCATACCAAACCAGGTTATACAGAAATAATTTGTGTTCCTTTTTGGATATTAACCAATCAGAGGCTAGAATACAACAAAATTAAATTATTTGCTTATGAAATATTGTACACACACTAAAAAGGGCAAAAAGAGTAATTTTCTCATACTATAATATGAGTGGGTCTTCGCTCCATTTTTTTGAAAGTTAATCCTTTTTGCATAAAAATATACATTTTTGGTTTCCAAAAATATGGAGCAAAGACCCACTATACCTTAAAATATACTTTTATGACATATCATTCGCATCTTTTCGAGAAATACTTGGTCCATTAAGTCAAGGGTCATATCACAAACATGATTTAAATGCCACTATTCATCAGGACTTGTGTAGTTTAGTGGTTAGCGTGCTTGTCTCGAAAGAAAATGATACTCAGGATTTTTATTGCTATAGGGTTCGAATCCCACGAATACCACATTATTCTTTATATATATATATATATATATATAAAAGAATAAATTTTTCCGAGAAAATTTTCCTTAGAAAAGTTTTATTTATCATAATTTCATAAATTTCAATAATGAGAACTTTACACTAAATACTGAATTCACAAATTGAACATGATTTTTATATATCTGAAGCTATAGGCTTTCTGCACGCTATGTTCGCCCATCTCCTTAATTAAAAAAAAAAATCATGGCGTTTCGGATGTGTAAACATTGAGTATATTATTCCTTTGACTTAAAATCTTCAACTCATCAGTTACATTCCCATAAACAACCCTTACTCCAAAATCAAGTCTATAATTTAAGTCGATAACTGTATAGAACTCAATATTTATTTGATACATGAGTGTAGGATGATCTTAGCCCTATTGGTCGAAGACAAAGGAGCTTACTAGTAAATGCATTGGCAAATTGTCTGTTTGCAATACAGTTTTGTTCCAAATTCAATAAATTTTGACACACATGTAGACAATACCAAGACAAAAATTCTTTTTATCAATGACGATCCGGTATGTTTTTTCTTTTCTTTCTTTCTTTTTTTTGAGGGGGGGGGGAGGGGGGTTGCTGAATGACGTTGTCTACCAAAGGTACAATAACGTGTTTAATTTTCTTTTTCAAAATCCAGCTCCTCCTATTTGAAAGTGTTTAATTCATTCTCTTCATTTTATTTTAAGGCATCATATATACAGCAACTAAGTTATTTAAGTTCTTTGTGCCCACACCATGCAACCACGTTTTCTGTATATGAACTCCTCTGAATTAAAAAAAAACCGCAATATTAATATCATAAATATTTTAGATTCTTTCCTTCTGGTTTCAGTTGTTTGGTTAGTTGGCTTTTGGTTTGATTTATCCTCCCCCCTTCTTCTTTCATAATAGGTCCCACTCTTGTCAGTAAAGTTTCCTAAATCACTTTTACTAACATAAACTTTAAGTGTTTCCTTGTAATTCCATATTTTTTTAAATCATAATGTTCTTGAGGTCAGCTGGAAAGTAACCTCCGAGCTCAGCTTTTAACGTACAAGGACTTCTGGAAAAAAAAATTCTAATCTAATATCGACAATGTTCTTTTTCCCACCTAAACTTGTTTGTTATTCAACCTCTCCCCCTTCTCTCTCTCTGGGGCGATGGAACTCACAAAGTGTGAAAATTGCAGAAGTAAGTCATTGATTTCGTGATTTAAAAAGTCATCAATTCGTTGATAATTGAAATAATACTGTTTAGCACTATTGCGCAATGTCGAAGTGAACTGTTTTGACGACGTTCTAGTTATTTGGAAATACTAGCATTCATCTGACATAATTATAATCATTTTAATTAAAGGTAAAATTCAATCATACGCAATATGCCATCTCGAAAGATTTTATGACAGTGTAAAATGCATATACAGCTCCTTTACTTACTTAAACACTTTATAAACGGTAGATTGTTTTTCTACCGTCATAGATTTCTCCAGTTCAATTCCCAATTAAAGATGCTTGTAACAAAAGGAACGTAATTAGAATCGATCCCCGCAACCACACACACAGTGAGTTTTGTTGATGCTAACAATATCAATAGATGTTGAAATCTATATTCCTTTGTCCTGCATATTTACAACATGGGACTTTACTGTATATTTCTAGATGCAAACAAAATGATTTATATACAGAGATTTTAATTACCAAATACACTGACGGTTAGAGCTTCAATGGAAATTGAAACCTATAAATTTTGCTATCTAATGGATGGCAGCGTTCAAGCGAGTTTATCATTCAACCTTGTAAAGGATCAAAACAATGGCAATTAAATAACTATATGGTAAAACAAAATCAAAAGATACATGAAGATATGTTTCTCAAAAACAAAGATATCAGGGATCAACGAACTAGCTAGTCTGTAATCAGACTCATAAAGTAGACTAATTTACATGCCAGTATGTGCCTGTAACTCATGCTCATTTGTCACTATTGCCAAACCTTACAACATAATAGTGCTTGAGCATGAAATACATTATACATACAGTATTCTCTTCTTTGAAAAACATTTACTGTATAAAAATAATGCACTAGTATTTTGTCTCAATTTTATTTGATCAAATGACAAGTCTTGCTGACCATCAAAATCTTTAATAAAAGTATTTTTGTATTATACATTGAATATTCTTGTGCAATTCTTTTATTTGGTTGACATATTGATTACATTTTTTACAGTAAGAGTCATTTATTATCATAGGTGAATAACAAAAGGGAATAACTTTTCTCAAACTGAAGTACAGATTTCCCTACATTATCAATAGAGCCCTGTCCAGCAAATGAACCCCTGGCCTAGTAGTCAAGAATTTACAAAAAAAAAAGGTAAAAGCATCCTTCTCATTACAACTTTGTACTCTGTTTTGCTTCCTAGATGCCCGGGGGGGGGGGGGGGGGGGGGAGAAAACCTGTAATATATTATGATCTATAGAGCCTCATCCTAACACAGAACCCATGATAAAGAGGCCATGACTTTCATAATTTTTGAAGAGGGGCCCTTGCTCATCACTTACCATGCATTTATTTTATCTACTAAATACCCTGGAGCAGAGAAGATTATCAAATTAATTCAAGTTCACCATATGATCAATGGAGTCCCACCCTAACACCAAAACCCCTGACCCAGGAGTCATGAATTTGACAATTTTGGAAGAGGTACCCTTGTTTATTTTAACTATTTCCTTAGTTTGTGTGCTTCATACCCACAAGCAGAAGAGAAAATGTTAAAAGAACATGTGACTCAAGTGACCTAAAATGAATGAGGCTTGTGGGCCTTCACAGTCACCTGTGTATCCATATTCTCTCTATATGTACAATAAAGTTTTAAAATCAATTGTTACACTGAATTTGAATTTTGAGAATGACCTTGAGTCAATGTAATGATACACTGTCTATAATAGTGAATACCATTTTTTCCAAGCATTGTAAGTATTTAAAAACAGCTTATTCTCATTTGTACGGAAGCCCATTTAGGACCTATCAAAAAATATTTTTGAATTCGATATAACGAATTGTCAAAAGTGTTCTAATGAATTTAATTCGTTATAACAATTTCTTTGAATTCGTTATAACGCATTTAATCTGTTATAATAAATTTATTGAATTCGTGATAACGAATTCAAAAATTTGTTATAACAAATTAAATTCGTTAAAACGAATTTGACAAATCGTTATATCAAATTCATATATATTTTTCTATAGGCCCCGATTGTTAAATTTGATTAAACGAATTTAATTTGTTATAACAAATTTTAGAATTTGTTTAAATGAATTCAAGTTTTTATTACAAATTTTAGAATTTGTTTAAACGAACTTAATCCGTTATAACAAATTTTGAATTCATTATAACACATTCAATAAATCTGTTATAATAGATTAAATTCGTTATAACGAATTCAAAGAAATTGTTATAACGAATTGAATTCGTTATAACAAATTCGACAATTCGTTATATCGAATTCAAAAATATTTTTCGATAGGTCCTAAATGGGCTTCCATACATTTGAATATCACATTTTTTGTCATGTTCTCCTTTGAAGATATTGGCCACACACAAAAATAATTCAACCATTACTTCAGGTATGACCTTGAGTTCTGGTCAAATTATGACATTTTCTGGATGAGACTTAGATAAAGAACAGGTTGGACAACCTCAGGAGCACCTGAACATCAGATGGAATGAAATGACAGACACGAGGAAGGAACCTTCCCTTTATCTTTAAAAGAAGGGGTCTTCTATTTTTCCATATGTAAATAAATGATTTCTAAAATGTTTCTTTGGTGTGCATGACAAATAGATTTCTAATGACCTTCCCAAGAATTAAGCCTCATCATTCAGGAATTGATAATAAAACCTTGGTACTCTTTCTTCTCTTTGAAAATAATCAATTGTTTTTTTTATCAAGTTATGAATTAAAGATGAATGGATAATCCCTCCTGATTATAAAAAGCTTCTCATACTCCCATGAATGACAGACTTTCATCAGCCTATCCAATGTCACTTGAGAAAATATCATTTTTTTTCAACATCAAAAATCAAACAAAGACATTACTGAATTGTCATGTTTTTTAAGATAATGAACTGGCAACATTTCAATTGTAAATGATGTAAATATAATGGTTTGGGCCATGAGTATTGACTGGAACAGCTCAGTTTGTAGATCATCTGACCAGTGATGCAGGGGGCCGGGGTTCGATTCCCAGTAAAGCCATATATTTCTCCTTTCCAGTTACAGATTTAGTGCCGTTGACCACCCCTGAACTTGCAGATGAAAGTCCTTCCAGAGGCAAATAAGAACTTGGGCCATGTCTTTGAGGGTGAAGACGGTTTAAGGAGGGAGGAATGTAATGATATGGGCCATGGATGTCAGCCTGGATAGCTCAGTTTGTAGAGCACCTGACTAGTGACAGGGGTCCTGGGTTTGATACCCAGTCTGATCATACATTTTCTTCCTTCCTATTACATAATATTACAAGACCACTTCAAAGGAATCATGTAAAATGTAGTAATGCAATGTTCCATTTAGTTTCACATGCTGTCTGATGCAAAGAGCTATGATCAAGGCTAATTTTTAAATCATTCAAAACATCCCAGACATGGAATCTATAGATCTATTGTTTAGCCATTGTCACTGAATGACATTGATCTTACAAGTCTGTTGTTTTAAAAGCTGTAATTGCAAGCCCATCTGAAATACTGTCTTAAACCAGAAGCCTCTGATGAGACTGTAGCTCTACTGGTTTGTACTTAAAATAAAGGAGGAGAAAAGTAGCACATGGACTTGAAATTATGCAGCAGCAATAAAAAGAATAATGATCCTTTGTTTAGATTTTTTTTGTGGCAAGGTTTATTGCAATCAGACTAAAACTGTAGGAGGAGAAGCCTTTTGCAAGAATTTTACAGAAATTTCTATTTTGTGTAACCATGGCAACACTGTTCATCGAAACCAAAAACAGACAAATAGAATTATGTTTCTTAGTGTAGCCTACCTATGTGCTAAGTTATATTGAAATCAGACCAAAACTATAGAAATAGTAGTGTTCTGATAGTATTTCACAGAAAATTCTATTTTTATTAACTATGGCAACATCATTCATCAAAATCAAAAACAGATATACAGAATTATGTATCTTCGTGTAGTCTACTTGTGAACTTAGAAATATTGAAATCAGATGAAAACTGTAGGAGGAGTAGGGTTTTGAAAGTATTTCACAAAAATTTCTTTTTTAGTAACCATGGCAACATCATTCATTGAAATCAAAAACCAATAAATAGAATTATGTATCTTAGTGTATTCTACTTGTCTGCCAAGTTATACTGAAATCAGACCAGAAACAGCAGGAAGAGTAGCATTTTGAAAAATTGTTTACAGACAGACGGATGATGGACACCTTATTATCAAATAAGCTCTTCTAGTCTCTGATCAGTAGAGCTAAAGACATAGTCAAAATAAGTCCTCAACTTTTCTCTTTTTATTTTAATGAATAAAGCAACCTTATTTAGAATCACTTTATTTTACAATAACATGTCATACATCAACATAATGAAACAGTTTTATTAAACTGCCTTAGGTCAAATGAAGTTATATTGTGGTACAAAATTACTGAGTCTCAGTTCTGAGCCACTAAATGTATTTAACAAATGGATCTACACATTATTTAATAACAATTTTGGGACATTTACATTCCCCTGATGTATCAATGAGGACTCTCCAGTGAAACTGCTCTCAAATGCCAGCTACTGTGAAGGGAGGCACAGGTTATAGATTTACTTAATTTATATAACATAAAGTTCACTACATGTGTCAACAATTTTTGTCAGAGAAGCATACAGATCACAATATAATGTTTATCTCATCCAGACAAATGTTTTCAGCAATCTTTATCCATTGGGGTTATCAAATAACATCCTATTAATAGACGGTTTGTTGTCCACATTTTCCTCTGCCACTGTCTCAGAAGGCGCTTCTCTTTGTCGGGGGTATTATATGGCTTCTTGTTTCCATGGTTACTTATGGCTGCCATCTTTTCTCAGGACTGAGACAACATTGAAGACAGTATTTCATACTGAGCAGAAGAAACAATCAAAAAGAAACATAAGCACACAAAAAAAACTACTGCAACAAAAATACTAAACACAACATCAAATATCTCACCCATCTTTGTGCTACAGTTGTATGCTTGGATTGTTAAAGATTTGAACACATTAAACAGTTTCAGAGAAACTTTACAAAATCTAAAATCTATGTAATTACCAGAAAAAAAATTGAAGTTGTATATCTGAACTGTGCAGAAAAACTTCAAAATGTAGAATATAGTATTTACTTCAATAATCAAAAGCACAAAGAAAGATCAGATACCATAGCATGCCTAACAGACAGCATACTGCATACTATTAGGTTTAGACATTCACAAAACAGCTCATCTTCTCTATGTATTATGTACATGTAAACACTATGATGAATGAAATCCAGAAATCCACAAACTCTATACGATATATATATATTGTCAACAAATTGCCAAGGACAGCACCTAACACTCACCTACAAGACAGTGCCTGATGAAAAATTGATTTCTATTTTACATACATGTATACATAACTCATCCAATTTTGGATGGTGACCTAGCCTAAATTTTAGTCATTTCTTTATTATTACCAATCAAAATAATAAGTGGATATCCAGATATGGCTATGACCCTCTTTTTCTTTTTGCAAATAAAATCACCCACTTTCAGTTTGCTAGAAGTTACCAGTTCATATATGATAGATTTCTGTCAAAGTAATATATGAAAATCAGCTCTGAAACATGTCACCTGCTGTTCACAAGAGAACTCATGTCATTTCTCATAAACATGAGTGGCAAACTAATTTAATACTGAGAAATTTTAACATAATGCATGTATTATCAGACAATAATTGTTGTATTAAATTGCAATATATCTTTTATGGAAAAGGTCTCATAAAGGTCGAATTTCATGATCATGCGTTATTGTCTCATAAAAGTCGTATTTCATTATTCTGAGCAAACAATAACAAGGTTATTTTCATATTGATCAACCTGAGTGAATATCAGATAATTCACTTCTCTCCATCAAGTTTTGTAAAAAGCTCTTTACAATTAATCACAGTCAAGTATAATGTACAGCACCTGGTCCATTCATAAAAATTTACATTTATTTGACTTCTCAGTTCAAACTGGCAACAACATGTTAATGTTTCCAGTAACTGTTTGTACAAGCTAGGGTAACTTAACCTCTTCTCTCATGAGTTGTTCTAGTGATGTATAGAATAACCATTTCTGAGAAGATTTGTCTTTATATCATAACCTGACAGATAAATCAACTTATGGTATTGGACAAAAATAATTAAACTGTTAACATTGTTTATAAAGTATGTCCCTTTTTCATACTATTCCAAATAACAATGTTTTAGAAAATGTCCAGAAAGTTTGTGTGTCTTTTTTTCTTAATATCCTATTACAAACCCTTACAGTATGTAATACAGACTCACTATTCATACCAACATCGGTGATGCGAGTAAGGCCATCTTTGCCCTCTCCCGACTCAAGGTAAAAAAAAAATTGTGAAAAGTAAGTAAATGTATAGGTAAAAGTAAAAATAAATTTAAAAAGTTGCAAGTAAGCCTTCTTAATTCATAATTATTATTAATTCTATATTAAATGTCTAATAAATTTATGAAATTAAAGAAGATTCTAGATTTCACAAGAATTTTATGTTGATCTTACTTCTCAACTAAAATAAGGAATTTATCTTTTTTTTCCCTTTATGATAACGGTGAATTCTTCCTTTTAGAAGAGAACTTGTAACAACCAAGGTTCTTGTTAAACATTTTTTGATGCAAGTAAAGTACCCGTTCCTGTTGCTGTTTTTGAAATATAGTTCATACTTAACTCACAGAGACCATAGCAAAGTCAATTTGTGAAGAGTATTTAAGAGTTCATACTTTATACTTATGAGAACCTATTTGATATTATTAAATATTTTCACAATGGCATACACATGACACTGCTATAAAATTAAATGAGTTTATTGCATTGCTAACTTTTTAAGGAAATAAAAGTATTTATTTCAACAAAAACACATTGTCTATTCTTACATACATTAATGGATGTTGGTCGAAAGCATCCATTGCGCCACTCTATTTTATGAACTCTGATTTTGGTAAACAATGACTGGGATTTTTTAATATTGATCATTCTAAGTGAATGCCGAAGAATTCATTTCCTCTCCATCAACCTTTGTAAACAGCTTTTCAAAGTTCCTCACAATAAAGAGGTAGAAAGGGGAAAAAATTGATGAATGTACGGTCACATGGTCATTCATAAAAGTGTTCAAGAATATTGGATTTTATATTCTAGTTCATATAAGTTACAAACCTTGGGGAGTGGTTTCTGTGCTTGTTCATTCATTAAAATGATTCAGTTCGATATCATAAACAATTAATATTCTCCAACTCTGCTTTTAACCTTTATCCTTTTGTCAAATTATGGATAGGTAGACATTTATAGATGGTCATGAACTTCACAGAATTTTTACTTTGCTCAATTAATATGAGGCCCCAGGGCCACATTGCTCAACCAGTCTGATTGAACTTTCATCTCCTAGTCTTCAAACAACTTATCCTAGACTCGCATCAAGCAAAGGTCCCTCTTTACAGAAGTGGACGATATTTGAGTCTTGCATATTATAATTTTAAAATATGCTTATTCAAAGCCTTCTTGCTCTCTAAAAAAAGGACTTTAAAAGATTTTCCAAATTTACGTACATAAAAATCTGGACCTTTCTTATGCCACAAAAATGAAACCAGTATTTAACTTGATGTACAGAAACATTCCTGTACTAGTACATGTATACTAATTTACCAAATATGAGGGATAATTCAACATTCCATAACTAGCTCTAAAACAAAAATTAACGTATCTCTGTAAAATTTTCTGGGTGGATAAAGTATGTTGTTGGTTGATAAATTACTAAGTTTATGATTTCTTGCACAGTGTCACTTTGTCAATGCGCAATGTCACTTTGACAATCATTTCTTGCACAGTGTCACTTTGACAATCATTTCTTGCACAATTCTTTACCTAGTCTTTTTATGTCCCTAGCTGTCACTGAAAGTGGGGGATATTAATTTGGATCTGTCCCTCCATCTGTCTTTCTGTTTAGCTGTTTGCCTGTCATTCTGTCTGTGTGACACTTTCGTTTCAAGACGATATCTCAAGAAGCCTTTGAGCTTTTGCAATGAAATTTTATGCTATACATATTTTATTCTATAGTTTAAGACCCCTACTTATTTTGAGGTCAAAAGGTCAAAGGTCATAAATTCATATGTTTTGTTTGTGTGTAACACTTTCGTTACCAGATGATATCTTAAAAAAGCCTTTGAGCTTTTGCAATGAAATTATTTATCACATCTACTCATGGCCTAAAGAAGACCCCTATTGATTTTGAGGTCAAATGTTTAAAGGTCAAGGTCAGAATTTCAAACATTGCAAATAACATTTTGTTATGATAACTTTTTTTTCCAAACTTTATCTTAAAAAGCCTTTGAGCTTTTGCAATGAAATTTCATATCACAACTCCACATGGCCTTAAAAACCCCATACTGGCTTTGAGGCCTAAAGGTCAAAGGTCAATGTCAGAAATATATTGCATATATAGCTTTCAAATGATAATTTAGAAAGAAAAAAAATGTGTCATTTTAGTATACTAAGGACCAAAATATATTTCCATGTGTAACAGACATGTGTATTACAACTTCTAAGTGAATTCATGCAAGTTCAAAAAATTTGATCACGTACAGTTCAGTGTACCGCCTGTACCAATGCAGCGGGCATTTTTCAACAAGTCAGATTTCAAACTGGTGTATATAAAACTTTATATAATTCATATTAATTCAATTTTAATTAAAGCATACACAAAAAAATTGGAAGAAAGGTAATTATAACAATGCAATATTAAGATATTTTTTTTTCCTATTTGGGAAATTCGGAGTAATAAATAATTTTTCATAAGGTTTTGAATACAGCTGAACTTTGGTATCTCGAACACTGATATCTTGAATACCATGGATATGTCAATCAGAAGTGAAGTGGATGTTCCAACCACTTATTTTATTGACTATTTAACCCTTGATTTCTTGAATATTTTGATATCTTGTTTTATCTTAGCCCCATTGAGTTAGAGATAACAATGTTTGACTGTATCATATACCAATTTTCAACTGCAATCTTTGGGTTGTGCTACACCTTATTAACCAAACAATGAAATGTTGTATTTAAACAGGGTTCATTTGTACAATTACTAAATATTTGTCCATAAATTTATCAGTGTTGATTTTATTTTTTACAAAACTTCATTAATGTATGACACTGGGTTCCTTCAAAACTACACTTGTCTATGGAATTTTGGGACAACCCTCATGTTTTTGTTAATTTTTTAAAAGAACCTTGTAAAAACCTGTACTACATTGTTTGTTTTGTAAAGCTATTATATGTAACTTCTAGTGACCTTGACTTGAAAAAAATGAATTTTACATTAAACATTACACATTTTTATCTTTTTATCATGAAATTTCCATGTATTCAGATGACATTAAACCTCTCCTTCTTACAAGTTATACTTCAGAAGTAAAAAAAAAAATCAAACTTCATACAAAGTATGAAAGTCGCTAAATGAGGGACTTAGTCAAATGTACCTTTCATTGAAAGTATTGAAAAAAGTATGACCTGTGGCCTTTTGTAACAAGTGACTTTAACATATCTGTGTCAGAAATTAGCATACAGTCATTTGTTACTTAGTGACAAACAAACTTACTCAACAGTTCACATTAAATATTTTCTCCTGAATAGAACTTCAATACATGTACTGACAATTACTAAACTCTATAGTGTTACATAGTAGAAGCTTCTATCGTGACTTGTTAATATTTCATGCATATGAACAACAGAAAAAAATAATGAAAAGAACTAAAAACATGTATGAAACAAAATAAATATAACACATGGAAGTTATGCAATCAGAATGAAATTATGGTAAAAATTTTCTTCCTTATTATTATAATTATTCTCTTGACAGTAATACTAAAACTCATAATAAATTTTAATTGTAGATCACATGTACATGTATTATTGACTTAAATTATCTTACTAGTAAACTGGAAATTTTTTTTAAAGTTATCCACTTAAGTTATGTCACTCGTGAAATTTATTATATCAAGGATTTTTTGAGAAGTATATTTTGGATAAGTACTCGTAAAGTATGACTCAAAATCGCAGAGAAAATGGGGGGTCAGTGTATTAAGTTGACCTTTTTGCACTTAAATTGTAACTCTTTGGTAAATCACTTTAACCGTTATCATATTTTATCAGATGTAACCATGGCAATAAACATAATCTTATTTTACGTAAAATAGTTTGAATAATATTTATCATTGAACAAATCATGCAAATTAATGTGCATAAATTATTGTGTGACCTTTTTGCACTAAAAAAGTCTCATATTTTGGGTATTGAAAATCTAAATAGGCAATAGAATATTTTCTTGTATCAAACTTTTTACGACTAAAGTACTGATCGGTCAAAAGTATCGAGTAGTTTAAAATAATGAAAGAAAAAGTTAGGGTCAGTGATGTAAATTTTGAAATATTGGTCAAAATATGCGATTTTCTGGCAAAAAAACTGCGTAAATTTTATCGTGATTTCTTTAATATATCTTCATTTCTTGGCAAAGTTTGTTGAGCGAAGGTGTAAATTTTGTTATGAAATTATAAATTGAGACCTATATTTAATATTCCAGGCATATCATAATGGAAAATATTCTCTGAGTAAAAGTATGTGAGGCTAATGTTCCAAGATATTAAATTCAATGAATGTTTAGATCTGCAGAATTTTCTGCTAAATATCCTTCCACCGCAAGAAATAGTCCCTTATAAATCTTGCTTCTTTATGAATTTTTGAGCAGTTTTTTAATTGAATGTTGAACATTTTACATTGTTTAATCTAAATATGTTATAAAGATTGAATTATAATGAATAGTTTTTAAGTAAGAGGTTCTGACTGAACTTTTCTAAAAGGCTGACGAGTGACATACCTTAAATATTTCATAATTCAATTAGATCATTTTTCTAGCCTATTTTTGAACAGAAATATGGTTTTAATTAGATCTACTGTTCACCATACATTTTTTAGTCCCCTTGGATTTTATGACAACTTAGATGTTCCATGGAGGCTTACAAACAACATTTTCCTATAGATCCTTTTTGTACTAAAAAGTAATTGTTCACATTGATTACCGTACTTCTGTCACTTCAAGGTCAACTACCTCCTAAACAATAGCAGCTGATCAATATAGATCAACTTTTGTTCTACCATCCCTGTATTTAAATTAACAAGTGGTGCAGAAATGTAAAATGTTCTGGACTCTTTAAAAATTTTGGATTCAGTGATACAATATTTCCAGTAATAGATTCTCTGATAAGAAGAAATGACTTAGTTTTGATCAGAAATGCATTTAATTACTTAGTTTTATGGTAAAAAAAAATACAAATTTTATGATTTCATGTTAAACATAGTCAATTTCTCAATAAAAATATACTTTTTCTGGAAAACACTAAGCCTTCTATTTTTTTTTTAATACATGTATCTGATTACAAGAATTTTATTTGTTTTATTTTTTTCTTTTAAATATCTACACTGTTACACTGATTATTTTTGCAAAGATGTATTATTTTTAACATGAAGAGAATAAACTGATAAATCTATTACATTTATTGACCTTGTATTTGCCAATATAGCAATTCATTTCAACTGAGCAATGAAAGATTCAGTAGAATTTCACTATAGCCTATACTTTACATGAGATGAGAGGCTATGATCATTTAGAAGATATAGGGTGTGTTCACCACGCATCGGACACTTTCGTACTTAAATAAGTTCTAGCGATATCACTACCAACTGATTATGATCAAAATGGAGCTTAATATGTATAATGTGACTAAAATATAAATTTGTAACACAGTTTTATGCTATTTATTGAGAAAATATCATTAAAAATCGAATTTTTGGGAATGGTCCAGAATTCACCATAGACTGGACAGTACCATGCATCAAACAAACAGTACATTTAACTGGAAAAATGTCCTACCTTTACTGCAGTGGACTTTATAACACCCAAAACGCTTATAAATTAGTGACATAAAAATATTTTTTAAGCTTCCTTTAAGAATTAACTTTCTATTTTAATTTGATTGACTTTATAGATCCTCAAATGTGGAGCGATTTTAGTTGCATCACATTGCCTTAGATTAGCCTTGAAATGTCTTATAATACGACAACTTGTGCCTTGGTTTTCGGGGTTATCATATATCGTCTAGTTTGAATAAAGAGAGCCCACTTCTAGTTGTCATATATCGATAACTTGTATTTTCACTAAATATGTTGAGCTTATTACTTTTTTTCTACAATGTCTGATGCATGGTTAATTTGTGTCTGATGCATGGTGAAATGAACATACTAGTAAAAAACAACTCTAAGAAAATTAATATTAAATTTGAAATGAAATTTCTTGATATTTTCTATAAAATTATCGAACATTTACAAAATTCACCCGACTGACTGGCTCCCTTAAAGGTTAATGAAAGAAAGACAACTCTAAAAATTTGCCAAAACATAAAACTCTGGTAACCCCTACTCCCCTATGATGATGTCAAATATGATGTCATTTCAAGGCCATTATCGTGCTATTTTTATCACCACATGATAATAAAAATCGGCATTATAAAAAAGTTTAAATCTTCGACTTTGAGACACAAATGGTCAAAACACAGGAACATTTAGGTTTGATGCAAGTCTATTGCTTGAAGTTGTCTGAACAAGGTATGTGTCCAATGCATGGTAAACTCACCCTAATTGGTCATTTATTTAATATTTTACTTCCATCTAATACATGTACATGTTAGCTAACTGTAGATTATAGACAATCATTTAACTTAATTTTATACTGAATTTTTTTTAAATATACATTAAGTTGTTTACCTAAATGTCTATGATCAACAAAAAAGTTAAGAATCTGTAAAATGACATAATTTGAAGAATGACTATAGATTGAAAGATGATTATAATTTACCTCTTGAAGCTTTTCATTTTCCTCTTGAACGATTTTCTTAAGCAGAGTTTGAGCTTTTTCCTACATGAAAATTAAAATCAAATTAAATCTAAGATCATTTATACATTAAATTAACAACAATATCATTATAAGATTTATTGTGCTTGCCTTCTGTTCTGGGTCTGTAATGCTGGACTCACTCTGCTCCTGTGACGCTCGTCTCAGACGTATTTCTGCTACTTGTCGTTTAAGCTCATTTAGTTTACCTTGTAGTTCAGCTATCAAATGGTAACAAACTTAAAAACATGCTTTTCATGATCAAAGGTTAGTTCTTTCAGTTAACCTTAAATAACATTCTCACTTCAAAATATGGAAAATTTATTGTAATTAAAACAGAGAGATGCTAGACAAACTTCCATCAAAAAAACTTACTTAAAAGTCTCATATGAGGCTAAAATAAAGTTACTGTGCCTAAATTGATGCAAGTTAAACAAAAGTTATTTTGTTGCAGTGGGAAAAACTAAGTTAAAAGTACTTTTTGGGGTCTTATTTTCACATACATATACTGTAAAACATATATGTAAGCAACTTGGGAAAGATCTGATATTTCTACTATGAGAGTGCTGACTGACCATTTTCAGCATCTGTCATGATATCCTGTCCTTCAACATTAGAGGAATCCATGCCATCAAAACTCATCTGGTGCTGGGAAAAGGAGAGACGAGACATGTCATCCTCCCCACTGTCCATCACATTAATATCCTTCTCCTCCTCCTCATCAGAACTGCTGAGGTCCCCAAATATAGCTGTAACAGTCCCCAAAAATAGCTGTAACAGTCCCCAAATATAGCTGTAAAAGTCCCCAAATATAGCTGTAACAGTCCCCAAATATAGCTGTAACAGTCCCCAAATATAGCTGTAACAGTCCCCAAATATAGCTGTAACAACCAGTGTAACTATCATCTAACTTCTCAGTTCTTATGTACATCACGTTATGTAAGTTGTACTGTGAACTATAAATTGTACACTTTGTAATCAGTGTTCGAAATTAGCGTCGGACCATCGGTCCTGCGCCAACGTACAAACGGAAGGACTCACGAATAGTATGACTAAATGGGTCCTTGAAATAATTTTGGGCCGATGATGATTTGCCGGGAAACAAGTTAAAGTCAATCACATCTTCTCGGACCTTTCCGGCGAGCTTGAAAAAATACACCATTGTTTTTCTTTACCGCTTGTTGGAAAGGCTTTAGAAGTTGCGATTGAAGTTAACGTATATTGGTTTATGCATTTACATATTTAGCTTTTATATCTTTCCTGCATTTTAATTGGATATATTAAACAAATTAACCAATGAGCGTCTTTAAAAGAAATTGGACTTAAGATGGGTAAAACTTGTTATTTTTATCAAGATTGTATCAATTCTTCTTTTCATGTGCATTTTAAAATAAATACTGAAGATTTGATTTTTTTTTTCCTGCGTGGAATAAATTTACGCTTTATGTATGCGGTTACAAACTTTCCACGGAAAACTGTCCAAGTATACTTAAGTACATTTTAACAACATATTGTGGTAATCTAAGAAACCTGTGTAATTTTCTACCCGCCGATTTTAAAAACAGAAATTGTAATTCCGAGGAAAAATCTAAACACATGTTAAACTCTTCACATGTTATATATGAACAAGTAAGACTGTTTGACGATTAATGTTTTACCGTTTCATATTGTTAATACTTGCGAGTTGTAGTTACCCTTTATTAAATTGACATATTTCATATGAAGCGATAAACCTTACCGAGATCAACAATACGTAAAAGTTTATTTTTCCGAAATATTTTATGGTATTATTTTTGGGCCTACGCTGCCCCGGAAGGACTCGTGTGGTCCCTTTCTCTGTGAGTCCTTTGGACCCATAGAAAATAATTCTGAATTTCGAACACTGTTTGTAATCCTGCACATCATCTTATGGACAAATACATTTGTAAAGAATTGGAAATTAATGACGGATCTGAAAACTTGTTATATAATGTAACTTACATGTACATAATCTGGAAGTCTCTATGAGACTGCAGCTATAGTGGTTTGAACTTATTTGTGGGTAAAAGAAAATTTGCACTTTGCACTCCTTTTTTAGTCTTACATTTACAGAAATATGTCATGGCAGATCCTTAACTTGTACCAAGTTTTATGGAAATCAAACCAATTAAACATTAGAAGTAGAAGCATTTGAAAGAATTCCACTAATTATTCTCTTATTCTCATTTAGTACCCATAGCAATACCATTTACTAAACTCAAAAATCAGAATGATACACTTTGATTTTGTCTACAGTGAATAAAATCAGCCCTCTCGCTCTCAGTGTTTGTTAAACAGAGATCAACAGAGAGGTGATATAATTTGTCATAAAGTCAAATCAAAACTGTTTCCTTTATAATACATGAAAGGAAATTTTCAACTTTCCACTTCAATTTTGTGTACTATAGAGAAGATGGGCCACTTATAAGATCTACCATTTACATTAAATATGTTGAAAAAGGCAACTAATTTTTCAATCTGAACATCCCTGAGTGGGATTTTTATTCTAGCTCTAACATCATGGTTTGGCTGTTAGATTTTGTTTCCTTCTTTTGGAAATCTTTTTGAGGAGATCAGCCAGGAACAGTAAAAATTTCTAAAAAATTTCAACCAGTTTTAGAGAGGTGTACCATAATTATCCAGACTAGTGGATGTATCTGCCCTCTTTAAGCTGGATCCTCCAGATTTATTCACCACTGACATCTGTCCAGAGGATTCCGGTTTTTCCTCCTCCGTGATCACCTCCCATTTAACATCAATGGCATCAGCATCCGTCCGGAACAAACGCTTTACCTCTTTCTCTATGTCTGGTTGCTCCATGTACTATCAAAATGATTACATTTAGAGCATAGAAAGTAAACAAGCAAATAAATACTAGGTCACTTGCTTGATTGAATCAAAATCATTATTCCAGTAACTTTTTCATGAGGAAAGTAAATGATATTAATTCTGAAACCATGAAAAAGTCTATGTTTTTTCTTACTTTTTTTTAACTCATACCTTTTTCTTGAGAGTTTTTCTAAATCTTCTTTTTCGGACATTCTTTAAAGGTCTGGTTACTGCCAAATAAACAACAAAATTTACACATCCAACTCCCCTATTCAAAATATTATTCATTGGAGAATAGATCATATTCTCACAGGACTATATATATATATTAATTTCATAAGCCTTAAAATTAGCTTGAGGATTGTGCTTATCAGTGTTCAATTTACCTAAAAAGAAAAATACCCAGTACCAACATAATTCATCAAAATTTTGTGAAAAGTTAATTTTTGGGCCTTGAAAAACTGAAAATTTTTCAGAGGGAGACAACAACATCAAGTTTTATTATAAGTATGGATCCAATTTCTCCTTTAATTTTTTTTAATATATATATATTGAAAAAGATGGACTGAGATACATGTACATATTTATACAGCTTAGCATGATAAAAACTCCTTACTGCCATGGTTCCAAAGATGTTTTTTGTCTTTCTCCTTTTTCTTTGGGCTCTCATTTTCATCTTGACTCATTTCCTCATCAGATTTGCATATTAACATCTGTCAAAAAGTAAACACAAAAATAATAACATCTATTAAACTAACAAAGGCAAAATATCTGTCTAAAAAATAGTAAAAAAGACTGAATGAAAATATCTGTGAACAGAGACAAAAAACAAACTTACATATGTATGCATGTATACATACAGTAAAACACGCTTATAAAGTGCTAGGGACGGATAATTTTGCTTCGTTATCAACGTAATTCATTATATCCATTAAGTTAACAATATATTTTAAAGCCACAGAGAATGAAAATCTCTATGCTGTAAGCGTCAATTCATTATAAGCATGTTCATTATAAGCATGTTTTACTGTATACTGAATCCACTAAAGTAAGCTCTTTACTGTTTGTGATTAGAAATTACTTGTGTTCTTACAGAAACTACTAAAACAGTACACACCTGTTTTCTTACAGGAACTACTAAAACAGTAAACACCTGTGTTCTACAGGTACTATCAAAACAATAAACACCTGTGTTCTTACAGGAACTACTAAAACAGTAAACACCTGTGTTCTTACAGGAACTACTAAAACAGTAAACACCTGTTTTCTTACAGGAACTACTAAAACAGTAAACACCTGTGTTCTACAGGTACTATCAAAACAATAAACACCTGTGTTCTTACAGGAACTACTAAAACAGTAAACACCTGTGTTCTACAGGAACTACTAAAACAGTAAACAACTGTGATCTTACAGAGACTACTAAAACAGTAAATACCTGTGTTCTACAGGAACTACTAAAACAGTAAACACCTGTGTTCTTACAGGAACTACTAAAACAGTAAACACCTGTTTTCTTACAGGAACTACTAAAACAGTAAATACCTGTGTTCTACAGATACTATCAAAACAATAAACACCTGTGTTCTTACAGGAACTACTAAAACAGTAAACACCTGTGTTCTACAGGAACTACTAAAACAGTAAACAACTGTGATCTTACAGAAACTACTAAAACAGAAAACACCTGTGTTCTACAGGAACTACTAAAACAGTAAATACCTGTGTTCTTACAGGAACTACTAAAACAGTAAACACCTGTGTTCTACAGGAACTATTAAAACAGTAAATACCTGTGTTCTACAGGAACTACTAAAACAGTAAACAACTATGATCTTACAGAAACTACTAAAACAGAAAACACCTGTGTTCTACAGGAACTACTAAAACAGTAAACAACTGTGTTCTACAGGAACTACTAAAACAGTAAACACCTGTGTTCTACCGGAACTACTAAAACAGTAAACAACTGTGTTCTACAGGAACTATTAAAACAGTAAATACCTGTGTTCTACAGGAACTACTAAAACAGTAAACAACTATGATCTTACAGAAACTACTAAAACAGAAAACACCTGTGTTCTACAGGAACTACTAAAACAGTAAATACCTGTGTTCTTACAGGAACTACTAAAACAGTAAACACCTGTGTTCTACAGGAACTACTAAAACAGTAAACAACTGTGTTCTACAGGAACTACTAAAACAGTAAATACCTGTGTTCAACAGGAACTACTAAAACAGTAAACAACTGTGTTCTACAGGAACTACTAAAACAGTAAATACCTGTGTTCTTACAGGAACTACTAAAACAGTAAACACCTGTGTTCTACAGGAACTACTAAAACAGTAAACAACTGTGTTCTACAGGAACTACTAAAACAGTAAATACCTGTGTTCTACAGGAACTACTAAAACAGTAAACACCTGTGTTCTACAGGTACCACTAAAACAGTAAACAGTTAACACCTGTGTCTATGTAGGTATTACTAAAAAGGTAAACACTGTATTCTACTGGTACTAAGAGTGCAACGATAAACCGTTTGACGGTATATCGCGGTATATTTTTCCACAATTCAAATCATGATACGCTAAACTGATATCGCGGTTCGATTCAATCGGCCAAGAATTATCCGAATCGTCCGTTTTATTTCCTTATTTACAATACTTTTCAAATTGGCTTCCAAGCAAAACATGAGGTCGACGATAACGCATTAATGGCAGTTAAACTCATCTCCAGCATCTTACAGACCTCAGATTTAACACTGTGAAGGACTTTTATCTCATTCCTAATGTTATTAAAAGTTATAGATGTTAAGACAAGTTAAGGTCTAAACGTATTCTATGGTAATGATATCTCATCACACGTGTATTTCAATAAAAATTCGCTGTCTTGTTGACTAAAACGTGTTAACATGAGAAATACGACAAATGGTTTTCTACGTAAATAAAAGGAATAAAAGAATAAATGTCTACCTTTTTTCATTCCAATTTAAAAGAATGTTTATGAGGAAAGGTCCTCGTAGTTCCCTGCAAATGTTTTTCATTGGTTTAAAAATGTTGTCACAACTCAGAGATTTATATAACCCTGTCAAGTTCTTAACTTTGTCATGTATCGTGATACGTATCGTATCGTGAACTGAATACCGTGACACGTATCGTATCGTGAGGTTGGTGTATTGTTGCACCCCTAACTGGTACATGTACTACTTTTACTTAAGTAGAACATATCTGATCTCCTCCAGCTTTCACTAAATACTAATCTAGTAAAAATATAATTTTCTCCCATTAGCAGTACGAAAATAGTACATATCCACTGAAGGTCATAAAAGAACACTGCAGTAATGTAATACTTTTATATAATGTAAATTATCCATCACAAATGATGACAGAATACAGGTATGACTTTATTTAGTTACCTGACTGACATCAGCTGTTTTGTAGAAGGTCTTCATGTCCACTGTTTTTAGAGTTTCAATGATGCTAGGTAAATCAACAAGCTAAAATATCACAGCAATAAATATTAGAAACAGGCTAGAAGATGTCAATTAAAAGTCACATCACATACTTTTTTTATTTGACAGATGCTCAAAAATGTAAAGTTGTAAGTGATACCTGAATAAAAGAATGTAGTGAAACATAAAAGAATGTACTGTGTTAAACATACATATACAGATGATTTTATTTAGATTTGTGTAAAAATCTAGTGGTTGGCACATTCAAATACTGATCAATCATTGTGCACCAATACCAAATGTCCCAATGATAAAAGAACTACAAAACCACTACTATACTCATAAAAACAACAACAAAAATCTTAAAACTTGACATTACCTTGCCATGGAAAATTTGATTTCCATATCTAACATTTGCGTGTCTGAAATCTGGCTGTGTTTCAATGCTCAGTCTGTCTTTAAGTGTGTTTGAAGAAGACTGGATATCCTGTCTTAGTGCCATGGCAGGTCCCTGAAATCACAAGTTATGCACCTTTAATTATTTCTATATATTGTTTTATGGTTTCTGTAACAGAAGTTTTTGTATTTATTCACAGTTGGCAAATTCAAGGCAAGCCTCAAGAACATCAAGTCTCATTAAGGGTAACTTAAGGCCGTGTCACACTATCACGATTTATGCTATGATTACCGACGAATTAGAAAAAGTTGAAAATCGCTGTTCATCGCCAGATTAGTCTTGTGATTTTTCCATACCATGTGGAATATTTTGCTGCTAGAACGGAATGTCTACAATGTCTGTGCGACTAAGTACGAGTTTTGTATGATTTAAGTACGAACTGAGGTGACAGCATTACGAACTGGTTACGATATTTCTACGATTATGAAGGATTAAATACGAAAATCATACGAAGGACGACAATAAGCCATGATACATACACAATAATATTCCTACAAATAATGATGATTTCTTACAAATATAAATGTTATTTAATGCATATAGAATAAAGGGAGAGTTGTCTGAAATTACTTAACATCATAGTTAAGTTATTTGATCAGGGTAAAAGCTACAGTGTGGAGCTTTTGATTATGTTCAATCTTTTCATGAATTTATTGAATACGGTCTTTATAGTTTCTATGGCACATGCATTTTCAGTTTATTTAACTTTTCTTAGCTTCCTTTCTTTTATTTTAGGTGGTATTTTGATTTCGACAGTGTTAACATCAGACAACGTCTGCCTATATTGTATTAACTCGTAGATCAATCGCTAAGTACTTGCACAGCACTTGCATTGAATCATCCTTTTTTGTATCATACTTGCGGGAAAGTCTTACTATGTTCCTATCAATTTGAAGAACAGTTGCAGTAAGTCGAAAGACAGTGTCCATGATTGTTTTGAACATTGCTGCATTTAAGTAATACATTTTATGACTACCTCTACTATAAATCTCTATTTGCTGCGATTTCTGAATTCGTAATGAATTATAGCTATAAACCATGACAGTGTGACAGGGGCTTTAGACATTGAAATGATTGTTCAACTTTGCAGGGAGGGGGTAACCATAATTTTAACATGAAGATATCTTAAATTTCCATGACTATTTCTTTCATTTGCATAATTCAAATTATGGTACGCTCGATGTATGGTGAACTCACCCTATGAGGACCCCATTGGAAATAAGCCTACTGTGGCTTTCATAGGTCATCCTTGGGTAAATGGCTTTATACATAGTAAATATACATATATATATATATATATATATATATATATATATATATATATATATATATATATATATATATATATATATATATATATATATGTGTGTGTGTGTGTGTGAGGGTGCGTTTGTAAACACCTTCAACTCAGCTCAGGTACTTATTGACACATCAATCAACTCACTACAGTTTTCCAAGTCACTACAGTAATCACTGTAGTGAGTTGCCGTTTTACGAAAAATGGGTAGTTCTCGATTATTTATGCCCAAAAAATCGAGAAAAAAAGTTGGTGTCATTTGACGGTTTACACCCGTATTTTCACACACCGACTTATGATCAAAAAATGGCCCTTACACACTTTACTCGGTTTTGATTCTAGCGCATGCGCAATGCAGACTAATACTATGGCCGACTTCCGGTATGTAATGATCTCGATTTTTCTACAAAGCAACAAATGATCTCATCAGGTAAGTTAATTTTCTGTTGATTTTACCGTGAATTAAAGCGTTAATTACAAAACATCACATCGTTTCCATATACAAAGATATTAATCAATCACTCGATAAACATAGAGTATTTAGATTTCGTTGTTTATATGCCCTTGAAAAATTTATGTTCAAATCCCTTAGTTATATTCCACAAAATAAAACTTTAAGGTTAAAGAATTATTTAAATATATTTCCATATAACTTTAAATCCACTACATGGCCCAATCCATTTGTTAAGCATAATTTGCAGTCGTCATCGAGTCTAAGTTCGAATTTTCTCGAATTATTCATAATGTTGACATGTTTCTATTTCATGCACTCGTATCAATTAATTATGTTCAACTTATATAAAAAATTATACTTCATGTAATATATCAAACGTATCTGGTTCTTTGTTCTAGTTATGAACTGAACTGGAATTATCTCTATCCTTTATAGTCACACATATTGCCATCAACACATCTTCAGTTCAGAAGTTAAATAAATTATTTTATGAAGTTAGAAATTATTTATCTTATTTATCTTTGTCCAAGACATGCACTTCATTTGTAATTTATTCTTTATTTAAAAAAAAACTGCTTCAAATATGTATGATTACAAAAGTATTTAAGAGTACGTTCTCACTATATAAGAATCACACTTTTCGATTTTAAATGTTTCTCGACTGATTTTACAGAATTTCAAATGAACAAATTCATTTAAATATTTTCTAATACAATGTCCCTGATGTATGTCACAATGGAACACCTGCACATGTATTGTATAAAAAGAATTTAGAAAGATTAGATATCTTTATAATGGAGGTACGTGTATGATAAACTGTTTTGATCGGAAGGGGAAATGCATTTTTAAAATACTACGGCTAATGTAGACAAGATCAGAGTTCTCTTTCATCCAAAAATAAAGTATGCTCAGTTCTTCTTGTATGTGTCCTTAAAGCTGGTAAACTAATCAAAATATGAAAATCTGCAAGTTTTTGTACATGTATTCAGATTGGAAACTTTAATCATTAGTTGCTTACCTGTCCGTGTAAGAGAAATAATTACAGTCTCTAGACTTGATGAGGTGTGATTATGGTAATTGTAAAATGTGGTTTCCAAGACTTTACCTTATTTATTCATTAGAGTTAGTGATTCATGTTCACTTAGTCTATTGTTTCCTCAGAAGGAGATGATCCAGGAATTCTTCCGAGGGGGGGGGGGTCCATGCCCCCCCCCCAAAATCCAACTGAGAAATTTACCCAAAACTTAAAAAATAAATAGATAAATTTTAAAAAACGCAAACTTGTCCATCCCCCCCCCCCCCCGAGAAAAACTACAATTTGAAAACTCAAAAAAAAAAAATAATAATAATAATAAATAAATAAAAAATAAAAAAATAAAAATAAAAAAATATGAGTGGACTGGACTGGATCGGTGCATGAATTGCTAAACATTGTCCATCGTATATATAAAGAACTGCATAAATTTTACACTTAGTCTAATCAGGGACTATATATAGAAATATCTATTTGAACATTGTTAATGCCTCCCCCCTACCCCCCTCTCCATTTACCATGTTTATTTCTAGTAAAAAAAAATTGTCTGATTAACCTATTCTACTCAAATTTACTCAAGTAATAAACTTTTTTTTCTGTGTAAAATTTCATTCCGAGTCATCACCGGAACGAATTACTACTTAATCGTAACTGTTGTGGCGTGATGCTTGATTGTGAACCTAATAACAGTCTAGACGAACTCCAAAAACAGCGTTTCCGGAAGTAAGAAATTGAGACTGAAAAAGACTCCGAAAAAAGAGTCCGCGCATGCGCACATACACAAAAAATGGCGATTTTTCGGCAAAATTGATGGGTCTACAAAAACTGTCGGTGCAAAGTTTTGGAAAGTATGGCAATTATGACAGTACTCAGAAATGCTAAATAAAAGACTTCGGAAGAGATCGTATTTGTCAGATTTTTGATTTTATTTGCAAAAAAGGAGATATTTACTTTCAAAGTTGACGTTTGAAGTCAGATCAATTACAGAGAAAATGATACGTTTGAGAAGTAAATATGCATAATAAAAAGGATATATATGCATAATGGGACAATATATCTTGTAACTGTTAAAAACTTGACTGAATCTTACATATAAATTAGCATTCCGGTTTTTTATTTGTGTACGACATCTGAATTGAACACGTAAGTTCTTACCGTCGTTATTTACCGATTTCTTATCACATACGAACAGATATTATTATGAAAACATTTTTAAAAGTATAATCTATCAATAAGAAAACTTTAAAAACCACTCTTCTAGAAATTAAGGTAACAACATGTCTTCTAAAAATGAACCTGTGAATATCTCTGCTCCATGTTGAAAAATACGCATTTTCTGATTAAAACAAATACAAGCTGGGTGTCTTCAAAAACAAATAAAAGCATCTTTATTTTAGGAACGACGTACATAAAATTTAAATCAAGGAGACAATAAATCAAATAAGAAAATAACTCTTACCGGCAGTATTGAATTCGATGTCGTATATCCAATTTACTAGTATGCAAGAGTTTGAAGCAATAAATAAGTCAATATCCACAAAATAATTTAATAAATATAATTATCCATTCAATAAAAATTAAAATAAAGTCACAATGCATTAAATACAGCCATTATGCAGCCGTATATTTGGAGAAAGCGAACGACAATCCATCGTTTGTTTACATCGGACGCCATTTTGCCGCAATGTATGATGGAGCCATTGACTTCGTTTTCAGAGTTCACGCCGTTTTTGGAGTTCGTCTAGACTGAATAACATAGAAATACTTATTGGATTATACCTTCGATGTCATTCTGTGATTTATTTTAGTATGTAAATACCCCTCATGGTAAGTATAGAGTAAGAAACGTTATATAAAGGTGTAAATGACAAGTTCAAAATGTTTACATGATAAACAAATCAGAGGTCATTCGAGTCACGTATAAAATTATTAAGTCATGCATGTGATATCAGTCAAGTGCAGATATTTCACAAAGGTTTGGTTGTGCATATATTTTAAACCTTTCACTGTGGTGTTTGTGAGCGTGATACGTGATACAGCTGTGATACCAACACGTACTAAAAGAAGATAGGCTAATTAAAAGTGAGACTCTTGTAAATTCACATACACACACAAAAGATGTAAAGGTTGCTCCACACCTCTTCAAATTAAGGCTTTGCCACACTACAGCATGTACAAAGCTTAAAAAACTTGCATCGACGTACAGAAAGATTAACATACTCGCTGGCATATGCTGAAGGCTTGTGCCATGCACCATAATCATGATAATT